GGTAACCCTTCCAAACAAGCTGTAGCCTACTTGTCCAGTATTTTTCCAATTGTATTGTCACTGTCACATGTAAACTGAGGCATCTAGAGTCTGAGGTGAAGCTCTTGGGTTTATGATTTCTGGGAGCATTGCACCGTCTGACCCTGAGGTGAATTTGCTGGAACCTCCACTCATGGGAAGATTGGCAATTGTCTTGAATGTTTTCCACTTGTGAATCATCTTCCTCGCTGTAGAATGATGGACTTCAAATAGTTTGGAAAAAGCTGTATAAACCCTCCTAGATTGATGGCAGCAACAATTGCTTCTCCAAGATCATTGCTGGCATCTTTCCACCTTGGCATTGTGTTAACACACACCTGAAGGCTCCAGACCACAAAACTCCTGCTTTTATAGAGTCGATCACACGTGCTGATGATCAGTTAATCGAAGGCATTTGATTAGAAGTGCCTGACTGCTACTACTTACTGTCCTAATTCCTATGGAAGCAGACAGGCTATACTCAGTTTGTCAGTACTTCTCCATTTTGGACTAGTTTTTGTTAAATTCATAACACGGTGTACAGTGTTGATGTTCTTGCGATTTTGTATTTACCTAACTTATATGTATAGGACATTTCTGTGGCTAAACCATGGTTTTATGCTTAGATTTACTCTTCTAGGTACTGCCTAATCACATGACTTTGGGGGCTAACTACACATATACATTAATAATTAGACAAGCATCCTTTGTACACCCAAAGTAGTTTAATTTGGATGCAAACGTAGCCAAGTGATGATTATTAAATTATAGAAACAAGAGCGCAGCTGAGCCACCTTTAGTGTTTGAACTTCCTTTTTTTCGGTAGCTCTGTATATTTCAATGGCTTTGCTGTCGAAGTGTAACTAGCTGGTCAAGTGGATTTACTTATTGTAAAATTAACGGAAGTTATCAAGAGATTTTTAATGTTTGAAGCGATGACAAATGTCAAGATTTTAAAATAAGAGGTTCACTCATTAATCCGTAAGATCTTACCTTCTTGCTGTCGAAATATAATCCGGAAGACAGAACAACGAGCACAGTGCTGAAAAGGGGCGGAGCTACATAATATCTACAATATATCAGTCTAATTCCAGTCAGGACTTACTGAGAGCCATCTTGTACGTCCTCGGCCCACGGAGGTGTCCGGAGGCCATAGGGATCGAGGCAGCCTCGCCTCTCTGGGATTGAGGCCTCTCAGTTGAGGAAGGCCGATTGGGCGATGGGCCTCCATGTGGCCATGGGGGATCTCTGAGAGTAGGAGGAGGGGAGCTCCGCGTGGATTCGATGGGAGGCGGTTGCTTAAAAACAGCTGATTCTGAATGACTCGAGTTTGAAGGCGAGTGCCTGGGGAAAAGGTTGTCGTTTATGAATTATACAGATTGTCTATGTTGCTAATAACCATAAATGATCAGATTCTTACCCTTCAGACACTCTTTTAAAGAGATATTGACCCAAAAATGAAAATCCGGTCATCGTTTACTCACTCTCATATTGTTCCAAATCCATAAGACTTTCATACAACTTTGGAACACAACGATTTCTGTTCCACCAATAGAAGTCTATTCACACAAAACTCTGACGCATCAAAACGAGAACGTGAAATAAATCCATTAATCTAGCAGTTTAAATCCAACTGAAGAGACTTATTTTTAGGCTTTTAATTTAGGCTTTTATTCACATATAAAAATGTATAAGCGAACGTACATATTGCATTCAAATTTGGTAACGGATGCTCAAGCATGCGCACTTGAGGAGCAAGAACCAATGAGGTTCATTCTCATGCGTCATTCCAGCACATTTGAGCTTCCGCATGAACCAATGAGGTTTATTCTTGCGCATCAAGAAAGTATGGTTGAGCTTCTGTTTATGTTCGCTAATCAATGTTAATATGTGATTACTTTACTTTAAATTAAAACTGTTCATCGTATAGAGCGATCACGTCACTTCAGAAAACTTGATTCAAAGTTTTTTTGTTTTTTTTTTATAATCTCTTCATAAGCGTTTTGAACATCAGAGTTTTGAGTCAATAGACTTTCCAAAAATAGACAGACATGATGACATTTTGTGTTTCGAAGATGAACAAAAGTATTACAGGTTTGGAACGACAAATGACGATTTTCATTTTTGGGTGAACTATTCCATAAACATAAAATAAGATCAGATTCGTAATCTTACCAAACTCCATCTTTCGGAGGTTTTGAGTGTCTGAATTGAGGCGGAGTAGAGGGAGATTGCGGAGACGGCCGCGGGGGCCCGACATTCTGGTTCCTGCCACTCCAGGAGGAGGTTCCGTGGGAGGGAGGGGTGTGTCCGTGGCGAGGTCTTTGCTGCTGAGGTGGAGGTGGGGTGGAGCGGAGGTGTGCATAGAGCTTACCCAGAGGGCCATGTCTCCTCTCGCAATGTTTTTCGAATGCCTGAGGCTTCACCACCTGACTGCAGTGGCCACACACCACCAGGAAGAAGTCATCGTGCCCAGGATAATGACCAAAGATGGACATATCTGCAGAAGCACAAAACAATAGGGACAAATTAGCGATGATCGAAAACTCATACTACAGAAAATGTTTCTAAATACAGACATTTTTCCAGAGAGGACTCAAGTTAACTAAACATGCTAGGCAGCTCATACTACTGGCCGCCCAATATTATGAAATTATATTTAAGCTATATGTTCAAAATAAACAATTTTATTATCTTAAGGTTATCAGCATTGGTCAAAAGCAATGTGTGCTTGGACAAACTCACGTAAAACAGAATCAATATATATTAATCAACTAGGCTGTCAGTAATTTTCTTAATTGTTTATTAAAAAAATAAATCCAGCAATTTTTTGTCTCACCTGACAAATATTGTGCATATTGACAAAGCTACCACATTGGTATTGTTTTAAAGAAAACAAATACATTTATGTTGACCACTACTTTCTTAGTCATCTTTGAAAAACTCTTTATTAGAAAAGTGTTAATTAAAAAGGGTTTTTACTACAAGGATGAAATTACAGTATGTTACAATGGGTTTACAGGTCAACCAATGTGGGAATTTCCAAACCAATGTGATTAGTGCCAACATTTAAAAAGAAGGGTGGTTGATGGATTATTTAATGCTGATAGGTTGAATTTAGGTAAATTGCACTGTTTAAACTGGGTAAATTACCTGAGTTCACCTTATCCTGAGTTCACTTTATAACATTATAATAATAGCTGTTGAATTTAAACTACTGATATTGAAGGAAAAAATATGACACTTACTTGAATTTCACAAAAGAACATGTTTATTATACATTTATAAGACTGTTTATAGATCATCGACCTGAGAGGAAGAACCACCACATTATTTGTTAATGCTGATAATCTCAAAACAGTCAAATACCGGCCAATTATTGAGCTTATCCATCGCTAAATAGAGTCATTTAACGATAATATCGCCGTCTCCTGATGAAATCGAAGTATTTAACGCATACCCTCTTTCCTCAGCGTCATGGTTTCCATCGTTTTTTTGCCATTCTTGCTGTATTCATCTCCATCGGACCCTATGAAAAGTGATTGGAGGAAGTGTAGAGAGAGAGAGTACATAAAAACATGACCTTTATTCAAGCATTATCCATCAATGCTTTACCAACACATATGGGGCTCTTATATACATCCAACCTTCAAATCCAACAATCCAAAAGGCCGGAAACATGGTAAACATTGAGAAGGATGTGTCCCCTCCAATATTCAGATCTATGATGGGTTCTTCTAAGGTGGACTATATTTGGTCCAGAATAGATGGTTACAGTCTTGAATGCACTATATGGAGTCAAAACTGTGAGAAAAAGGGACATGTATTGAATTACGCATACTATGATGTTTAATGGGAGTAAAAATATGGGATCAAGCCAATAGTTTAGGTTTAATTCCCCAAGATTTTCAATGTGAAATGCAATCTGTGCCAAGAACTGGTCATCTGTGAAGCACAAGCTCTTCTGTGGGTGGGGCCAAAATAAAAACTACCTGCAAATGAAGCCTGCACTATTAACTGATTTGATAATCTGCCCGATGACAAAATGAGATTCGTGGTTTCAAACTGATTGCGTTTGCTACATTTGAAGTTCCAGACAAAACGAACACGGAACACGTTCTATTATGACGACACTGATCTGAGAGAGAGCGCAAGCGCGTAAACCGGCCGGCACTAGGACCCGGCAGGTTCTTTGTTTGGGTAACATGGTATGGGATGCCGTGCCTTTTCCACGAAAAATAAAGCACATCCGTGAGACTTTTTAGTGGTTGATGGAGAAATAGCGGCAACGAAGTGCTCACTCACCCTCCGATGCTGTCAGGTTGGCTCTTTCCGTCCAGACGCTCCAGCTTTGGCCCACGAAATCATCGAGACAAGGCACCCGCCGTTCCAGAGCAGCCATTACTTTAACTGCGCGTTCACGCACCGCCATCATCACTGCGCGGCAAGGCGCTGACGTCACATTGCGCGCTCCCGCTGGCGCAGAGGGAACCTGCGTGTGCGCGCACTTGTTCTGTGAAATGTAGATTTTTTTATATATCTGGATTTTATTTATTAATTATTGCTTGTTTTATTTTTGTTTTGATGTATTTTCGCTATTTTTAGAGTACAAAGATTTAAACCCATTTGACATTAAACTGAATTGAACTATATCACATTCTTAATATAAAAAAAAAACGAAATTATTTGTTTTTATAAGAATCGTGATGATTAACCACATGCAAAAAAATCTGAATGGTTCTAATATTCAGAGAAATATCTTAATATATATTTTCATTTACTTAATCGTTGGTGTTCTAGTTAGAAAGCATGGAGAACATCAGTAATACACACGTTTATGATTCACGAGTGTTGTGATTTGCCTATTTTTTTTATCTTCATCCCCCAAAAAAACTTGTGAGTGTGATTTAGTTTGATGAATTTATTGTGTTTACAACACTACCACCTAGTGCAGCCTTTTGGAAATAAAACACGAACCAATATTTACATCTCTCCTCTTTTAATACTAACGAAAATCAGCCTTTGTGGAGATTTTCCTTCTGAACTTAGCATAGATACAAAACACAACAACAAAAATGTAGGCATATATTTTTCCAAAAGTCACAACCAAAATTGAGGATTGCTTCAGGACAAAAGTTAGACAGTATGTGACAGGAGGAAATTCTCTTGAGATTTTTAGATGGCACTTTGAACATTTTTTCCCCTTTATTCACAACTATAATAAATTATATTAATTATTTTAAGTTTAAGTCTTCTTTAAGTCTACTAGATTAAATCATTTAGATGTGCCAGTTAGAAATTCGTTAGAAATCTAATCTTATGATTAAAACAACTAATTAAGAATATAATAAAAAAATGCCAATTTAAAATTAAACAAATACCAACCAATTTTCAACAGAACATAAACTGCACACAGACAAATCACAGCTACTGAACAGTTACTCTATTTTAGGTTTAAACTGAATGCAATCCCCAAAAATGTATCTTTCTGTAAAAAAATGATGGTAAAACATGCCACAGATGCACAAAATTAAATGTTCATTTTTGCAAATAAAAACATCAACCCATGTGATACAAACACTTAATTCTCAGTGTCAAGTCAAACAGCCAAATACAAATAATGACAACATTACTACTCTGAACAGTAGAAAAACAGCTAAACAAGTGATTTCTTCTGCTGAACGATGACTAGTTAAATAGTTAACATATCTTTCCTGATAGCAAATGAAATATGGCCTTTGGCGTAGTAATTATTATTATTACCAAATACCACTTCAAAAAGAGTCAACACAGAGAATTCACACAAGGATGTAAAATAAAGGTTATAGACTAAATATCAGAGGCTGATATGATTAATTTTTTCAGTTTATCCTTTTCTGACAAAAGTAAGGGGACTTAGTTGTCGCAAGGTGTTTTGGGTGTGCATAAACATCCTATCGTGATTGTAAATGAAAAGGCACTTAAACCAATAAATAGTTTTTAAAAACTACAGGGAAAGTCAAGCTTTAAATTTCTAGAGCTAGATATTAGAGTGCTAGTGTTTGAAGTGCTCACATACAAGCTTTCAAATGCAATGTCTGTTCATTGTAGTGGATTTTTAGAGTTATTGAGATGCAGGTCATCTTTTACCAAATTAGACGAATTAATAATAAAAATAAAAACATTAATAACCTAGAACACAAGTTAGAAATGCTAATGATCTAATCAAATTTGGTTTGCTTCAGACAACCTGCTTGACAGGATTATCATCTGACAGGGCCATCAAACAGACACTAAAATAAAAATAAAAATCATAAAGAAATGATGAATTCAGCTTATAGCATTTATAATGTAGTGAACTGCAATGCATGGAGCTAGAAACAAAGCTTTTGCATGAACAAACGATGAGGTGGTCTGCTTGATGAACGGATGGACAGGAGAGAAAGGAGGCAGTCTTGTCGTATTAGGAAGTGGAAACTCCTTCCTCTGCGTTGGTTGGTGGATTAGCCGGCTTATGGAACGGAGTCTCCTTGTAGATGAACCAGCAGTTCCCTGCCCACAATATCAGGTTCAGGAATCCAAAAAGCTAGAAGAAAGAAAAGAGAAAGATACATTTAGAAGGACAATGAACCACAATTTTCTCCTACAGGACTTTGAGATTATTTCTAAATTGTGGTGTAATTTTTTTTTTACAAACTATTTTATTATTTATTTATTTATTTTTTGTCATTTTATTTGTAGCAGTTTTTTTTATACAACACAAAACATATCAAAGTCTCACAAAAAGTTTACAGAAAGAATGTATACTCATCAAGAATGTATACTCATCCGTTCATCAAGCAGACCACATCATCGTTTGTTCATGCAAGCTCCATGCATTGCAGTTCATTATAAATGCTATAAGCTGAATTCATCATTTCTTTTTGATTTTTATTTTTTATCTTAGTGTTATTTTTATTTTAGTATTTTAGACCTGACAAGTATACATAAAATAAAAACATCTCCCACCAGACCGAGAGAAAGAAATGACACTTTAAATCACTTAAATAAAAAAGAAAAAATAAATTTGATAATGGAGTGAAGAAATACTGTAAAAGAGATAAGTCATCCATATTACATATATGCCCAAACATATTTCAACTCTAAGATACTTAAAGGACAAGTTCGGTATTTCACAATTAAAGCCCTGTTTTAAGATCGTTTCTGATGAAATAGAATGCTTAAGATTGTTTTTTAGACATATTCTGCTGCTATCCCGAAAATTTTCGGATTCTGTGGTAGCACCCCACACCTCGACAATGGTAGCATAGTTGCAGAGGAACAATCCTTCATAAAACGCATAAAACTTTTGTTTACACAGACGTGAAACTCACCGAGTGGTCTGGGGAGTTCACTGATATGCTCACACAAAAATCGCTGCAAAAGATGCTTGTCAGTAAAGCTCTTAGTAAGATGATATTTAAATGCTTAGATTTATGATCAAAGCTCTGTAGTTTTTATTGTGAGGGCACACATATAGTCCAATGCAATACAATGATGATTGAGAGATGTACAAATAAATGTTCCTCAAAAGTTTGATGAGTCATATTGAATACTTACATATTTTTCTAAATGATGATGAATGGATAATCATTGTTAGTTTCATTTATAAATTCTTAAAGATTTCATAGAAGTAGGATGTTTTTAGAATTATACTAAAAGGCATTTCACTTCCTTAAAAGTACCACCTATGAATCATGCGATAGAATGCATGTAGTAGATTGTGTACAACAGGTTTTTCAGCAAAGTTTTCATCATGTTCATAATTTGAAGGCCGTAGTATATCAAATGTCATACAGTAAACTTTACAGGGTTACACATTTATCCATAATTGATCAAATATACAGTCATATCACATGTAAAACTGTCTGTCATGGTCAGTTTATAGGTGTGTGCAAAACAAAGTAGTACAAATAGATCTGCCTCAAATCAGAGCAATGTTAGGTAATGTGAGGTACATGTTGGGTTAAGATCAACTCTAATAAAATATTGCCCAAAGAAATGTTCAAGGTATTAACTATTAACTAGGGTTAATTTGAAGAAGAAGAGTGAGATCAGAACTAACAGGTCATCCTTACCACAGAGGCATTGAGACGGCCCATAGAGGGGTGGCTCTTCACTGTGCATACATCAGGCAGACAATTATGGATTAGCCTTTCAGGATCTGTAGCATACTTGACATCTGTTAAGCCTTTTCCCCAGGCTGAGGAGCACACCAGCCACAAGAACGCAAAGATCCCAGTCACAATCAGATCCTGGAGAGGAAACAGATAAAAGTTTGGGTTAGCAATCCTTGTTCGCGGGAATTGTAGGAGAAAATGGTACAAGTTGCTGTCAAAAGAAAATGGCATGTGAATAACAGAAACAAATATTTGTACAGTTAACAGAAGTGTCAGTTCCAAAAAGTACAGCCTTTACAATGAATACTTTGTTTTCTATTAAAGACTGATGACTCACAATGGTGGGACCACGGTTAGACTCCCTGTAAACGTGCTGGTAGCCCAAGTACAGGATGAGGGTGAAAGTGCAATACAGGAAGCCCAAGACCCCCACAGCGACGAAGAACTCAGCCGAGGAGGAGAAGTCCCCCTGCAGGTAGGTCACGTTCACGTTCGTCTTATTGCAATAAGCAATGTAGTATGGATGACTTGGGAGCCTGATAAGTAGGAGTCACAGGTTTAATATGTTTTGTATGTTAAGCAAAATACTAGAAATGCACTGATGAATCTGCCAGTAATCGGTCTCAGCTGATAAAAGCATTTAAGCATTAAAAAAAAGAGAGAGGATCAGAATTAATTATGTTTGAATGAATTCGCATTAAGACAAATGTTTATGAAAACTACCTTATGTGCAACCGAGTTGTAATTATTATATCTGAAAATAAATACCAGTTGAATATAATAGCTCTGTTAATTTTAACCTTTAATATTGTAGTAATGTATCAAATGAGAGGGTTCCCTGTATACAGCATTATTTGGGAGATTTGTTTCCTTGAGAAATCAAACTAAGGTATTGGTAGATATCATTCTAAATAATATGCTATTGGTATCAGCAGAGAAATTTAGTATCGGTGCATCTCTACAAACTGTAAATGTCTTACTCGTAGCATGACTAACAGCTGAACGGCATTTTAACGATGAAAAAAAAGATACCTTTATTTTGAAATTATTTGTAAAAGAAATTTTTTTACCTAAAAGGATATCCAAAATGAGCAGAGATTTCTTTGTGTTTATCACAGTTATGGGTCACCACAGTCGATCCGACGTAACCACCAGTGGTGGCAAAGGCACAAATGGTGAAAATCTGAAACCACAATAAACATGATAATAAGACATCCGTGTAGCATTTTCTATGAAATCATTACAGAGCAGTTGTCATATCGGTTCTGATATCAGCACTGACTTTAACCATGCACACTTGCTCAGTTTAAAGAATTCTAAAAATGTGAACATTTATTTTCATCAATTTCATCTACTATAAATATATATATATTTAGACTTATAATTATTTAGTCGAATTCTATTTTGACCACTAGAATAGGTTGTGTTTGAATTGTATTAGTGACAGTTTAACTGCTTTAGCACACCACGTATACAGAAAATAAGACTCCAAAAACATGAATTTAAACCAGCTGTCAGTAAAGTGAAATGATAAACGAGAGTGAAATGGATTGAGTGTTTGATCCGTCAATGCTTTTCCCTTGCTGACTCACATATCCTGGCACGTGGTTCGCTGCTTTCCTTTTACAAATGCCTCACTTCCACACAGGAAGTGGCTTTTACAGACATTGTGAGAATAACTACAGTAGCACAGCTCTGATTTATAGATCTGCAGGCTTTTGTCAGTGCTCAGTCAGTCCCCCTCTTTCTAAGCAGTTTTGCTTAAAAAAAAGTGACAGGATTCATAGCAATCATTAAAAAAGATAAACTAAGCATATTGTGAAGACGAAATGATTAAAGCGATAGTTTACTCACCCTCATATTGTTTCTAACCATATGACTCTTTCGTGGGTAAAATTACAGACTTTAATTTCAGGTGAACTATCCCTTTAAGAGAGCTCTACTCAAAGCTTGAGAGTCAGTCAGTGGAAAGGAAACAAATATTCAAACCAAGTTAAAGTTTTACAATTTAGCTATATATTAAAGCATTCCAAGGATTGTTCGATCACTGAAGTGTCTCTGTGGAACCCCGTTTAAGAAACATTGAAGGATCTTCTAAGAAACAGTTGCTATATTATACAGGAAAAACAATAGTGGGATGCAGAATTTTTCTATCCCAGGAGTCCTTTGTGAGAAATTCTGTGGGAGGGAATGGGGATCAACTTTTCTAATTTAAGCTAAGGTGCTAAGGTTTAAGCTAATTATTTAAACTGAAATATAATAAAGCTAAAGAGATTAAAAAAAACTAATAAATATGACAAAATATGACATATGCTCATTAAATGCCACTGTATTATTTATGTAAAAAAATTAAATATAATAATAATATATATATATAAAATGTTAGGGATCTGCAAAAAAAATGAATTGGTCACAGAGCAAAATATTACAATGGTCCAAAAAATAGGCCTAATTGTCTTTACGAAAATTATATTTCATGTGAATTAACAGATGTTATATAATTTCTAAATATGAAAAATATAGTAGACTTCCATTTTACGATGAGATATTTTAAATATGACATGTCTTGACAGCTTTTATATAATTCACAGAAAATAGTACTCTGTGTGTGTGTGTGTGTGTGTGTGTGTGTGTGTATATATATATATATATATATATATATATTTTTTTTTTTTCTCTCACATGTTTTTGAAGTGATAAATTAATCCAGATAAATTTGAACATGCTATTTTCCAGCAGAGTTTAGATTGTTTTCTTCTTTCACTAAACCAGATATCTGATCCTCTGAGACGCGCTGGTCTGGATTGCACCCCAAAATGTTTCTAAAAATAGCATGATTTTTGCTGCCATGAAAATCATCTGCATTCTTAAGAGTGGGTGTGTGATCTTCACCCCGCCAAGACTCTGCCTTCATTCCTGGTCAGCGTGTGTGTGGTGCAGGTGCTTGGCACAGAGAAGTACAGCGAGCCAACTAAGGGTGCCTGACACCAAACAGAACCGCATGGTGGGCCGAGATGCCACGTTCACGCTGGAATGCACACCTACACACAGCGAGTGACTATTAAAGAGCGTCTTTGTGTAAATGAACCGTCCCGGCCAGCGTGGTCAACCTGATCAGAGGTTTACCTGTTAGCGACCAATACTTCCCCCTTCATTGTTGTATTATTACTGGAAGACTGAGTTGTGGTTGTTAAAAGCAAAAACATCACTGCGGACACATGCTGATTTTGTAGGGAGTGGCTGACATTCTTGCTTCTTGCGTAAATAATGTGTCAAACCACCTGTTTCCTTACAGTTTTTGCAATTCAGGACATTCTCAAAAAAAAAAAAGCTTATGAATGCATATTAACCATATCCTCCTCCACATCCAAGCACTTTTACACAGAGCCGTTACACCCTAAACACCAATTTATTTCCTAGCTCCTACTTCCAGTCCAGCTTGTCTAGATCTCCAATCTAATGAGATAACAGCTTCATTTACACCTAATGCAAGTCAAATTACATTGCTCTGTGGGTTTTCTGGGATTACTTCAAAAATGAGCTTGTGATGAAGTGTCCCCCCTTGTAAACAGCACCTGGATTAAGTTGCTGAAATTCCATTACCTCCACACAAAGGATCCAAAACAACACACTATAGTGTTAAATTGCACCTTTCTTTTCTTTACCACCTTGCACGTTCGGAATTATACTGATTCGCCAAGCCAAAGCAAAACTGTGTGCAAAGTGCAAATGTTTACAAAGGGTCTGGCAAAAGCAAAAGAGATGTAAAACCTGCCAGGTGAGAGAAGAAAAAAAAAAAAGATGTCGCCAAGAAACAAAGGCCAAGACAACATTTAAAGTCACAGAAGCCCCTTTTCCACCAAAGCATTTTGAGAGCCGGTTCGGAGCCGGTGCCTGCACGCGAACCAGTTCTTTGTGTTTCGACAGCCAAAGCGGCACCAACTCTTTGCTGGACTAGAACCGTTCTTTTACGGCATCATGCTTATGTCGGGGGCTGGAGCGGGTTTAGATGTGTTGACCATCGCAAAGCCAGGAGAAACTGCAGAAACACGCAAGCGTTTTTATTTTTTATTTTTTTTTATTTGAAACATAAGTAAAAAAGAAAACTGTCACGATATAGAAGAAATAAATGGAAAGAAAAAAGACACAAGACAGGGGTACATAACTATCAGAAAAGATTACATATCAAACGAAAAGATTAAAAGACTTACATATTTCAAGTTGTCTTTCTTGGTACACGAGTTAGAGATAATCCCAAAGCAATGTACTTGCAAGCGTTTCTAGCGACGTACACAGTGACGTAACGACGTCGTTCCCTGGGCGCTCAGTGGAAAAACAAACGGGTTCGCAAGTTGAACCAACTCCGAACCAACTTTGAACCAGCACCAGTTCCGAACCAGTTCATTTTGGGTGGAAAAGGGGTAATTGAAATCAAAATGGACAATTCTTATTTTTTTCCATGGAATGTTGCAGCCGTGGCCTAATGGTTAGAGAGTCGGACAGGTAACCCAAAGCTTACTGAGGTGTCCTTGAGCAAGGCATCTAACTGGGCGCTACAGCAAAAATGACTGCCCACTGCTTTGGGTTTGTGTGTCTACGGTTTGTAGTGTGCGTGTGTGTGTGTGTGTTCACTACTCACTGCTCTTAATGTGTGTGCACTAACATGGATGGGTTAAATGCAGAGGACAAATTCAGAGTATACCTTCACGTCACTTCACATCACTATTATAAATGATTTATCTGTGCACAACACAACTATTTTTTAAATAACAAACCACAACCGTCCAACCAATTCCCAATAGACAAAATTGTTTGAGAAGCTGTTTAACTCTTTTATTTCAGCAAAAGCAGCTGAGATTCTTTTCTGAACATATAACATCACTTCTAAAAATGATATTGGCTGGTTTCAGTGCTGTCGGATATTTACGTCTATGTTTACGCAGTGTCACGTGTCAACACTGAATTTTGTGGCAGTTAGCTTCTACTTCCGGGCTTCTAAACTATATCAGACCAACTGGATTGAATTTCAGTCTAGTCTACAACCAAACTGAGGACAAACAAAAAATATATTTAGCTCACAAGCCATGCAAAAGTAGCTGAGATGACCCTCTGAAGAACGCTTCTACATTCTAGAATCTATTACACTTTTTTCTAGATCATCGAAACTTAATTGTATAGCACGTAAATCAGATCAGACTGAATCAAAAAGTTAATTTCATACCCAGCCTGATTTCTTAGTAGGTTAATGACCTCCAGAGAGTGTGTCGAGGCCTAGTTACCCACATCAGTCGGAGAACCCTGCAGGTAGGTGTGTTTTATAGCCTTTATAGCCTAGATTTTCCATTGTTCTAAGTGGTATATGTATGTAGTATTAGTCTAAAGTCCACCATAGGAGCCTCTTATGCGCATGTGGCAAACATGACTATCTGGGTTGCTCCTACAGTTGGCAATGTAAACACCATTTAATTCTGCAAGGCAGGACTTGTATAAATTTGCATGCATTTGTATGCTTGAGAAGATGTCTACAGCACAATCCCGATCAGACAACACATGTAAAGATGTGTATATGTCTAGATGACCATAATAATGGAAAATATGCCAGTTTTGAGCCGGTTGTCATCAAATTGAAATGGGTGTTGCCCCTTATTGACAAAACAACAGTACCATATGTGACTGAAACGAACTTGTTTCATCGTTTAACTAAAGGTGCGTGGATATGATCGCATAATACAGTGTTTAGAGACATTAGTAAGAGTGTATCAACTGTCATACTGAGTGACCGTCCCATCAAAAATATACAATGTGACATTTGGATCTGCTGAATGATCGCAGTAACTCACCCATTCCAGGATTCGGATAAATCCCAGTGGCTCTTTCACAGGTCCCAGATCCAGACTAAACCCCGACATGACTTTCTGTAAGTGGAGAAAATAAAGATGAAATCCTTCAATCGATCTCCTGAGCGGAAAACACCACCACCCAAACGGCTGTTAGTTTATTACCTGTAAGATTTCCATGTTTTGGGCGTGTTTTTATATCGTAGCTAATAGAAAAGACTTCGATTCCAGGATAGTTTCTGATTTCAATTATTAACAGAAAAAGAGTACACACGACAATGACGTTCAAGGTTTTCGCTAGCGGGAAAAATAGAGGACTTGTGTCGACCAACTTGTCAAACTTTCTACAGTGAAACACGTGATTTCAACTTTCTCTTAAAGTGACATACACGCGTAAATGCACTGCAGTGTTGCCAGATCCCTCCAGAAACACAGAAACATGTACAAAAGATTTAACTTTTATTGGTGGTTATGAATAAACTACTTTTATAAAATGGCACAAATTAATAAAAAAAAATATTAAGAACACGAATCTTTATTAAAAGATTATTTCATTTGGCAAGTTTATTAAGTGGCATTTGCGTGAACTTTATGTGTATTTTCAATAAACACCTTTGGATGTTCTTGTTTAAATAAATGCTTAAAAACACAAATATTATCATCTAAAATGTTGGCCTCTTAAATATCTTAAAGGGTGGATATTGTGATGAACGAATGTAATGTTAGAATTATGGGGAAGATTACCCATTTTTTCCTAAGAAATCACAAATATTTTCAGCTTTAGTAACAATATTGTATTTGGTATTGGACTGAAACAAATACAGGTACATATACATTTCAAATACATTTTGCAATAAATGTTATTTTTTATAAATGTTTATATACATATAAAATGCAGAAGAACATATCTCTGAAGAACATGCACATCCATGCATGCATACACAGAAGGCCGAAGTTTGATTATAGGTAACGTTTATTTACAGTTTCATGCATTTAACAATTATTGGAAAAATGTATATCATCTTGCAATAGACATTAATTAACCCCCTTAAGTTTAATTTCACTTATGTTACAATTTGATTTTAAAAATGTTAGTGTCATTTATTTGTAAATTATTATTTTCTTACGAGATAGGCCATTCAAATCGTCGTCATATGGCACAATAAAGTTTTACGCCCAATCATAGCCAGTGTGCTCAAGGGTAGGAACCTAAGTTGTCCCGAACGTTTTTGTCGGGCGATTATGTATAAACACTTCCTGCACTGTTGAAACTAGCAAACTCACCCTCCACTGCAGAAGGTAAGAAATTAATTTATTGTTGTGCTCTACTGCAGTAAGTCGCAACTCAACAGACAAAAGCATTTGAAACAACAAAGCATAATGTATAAAGTTGTTTTAACGGCCCGTGTGTTGTTTATTTGGTAGTAAATCGGTTAGCTAACGGCAGATGCTCATGTGTATGGGTTCTCTCATGGTTTAATCAAAATAAAGAACGAAATGTTTAAAAATCTTATGGGAAAACTGCTCAATGAGTTCAGTTAGGGTTTTTAAAAGTGCATAGATGAAAATAAATACGCTAAGAGTGTTTTTAAAGCTCTCATCTATGAATGACTTGGTTGAAACGAAACATGCCTTGTCATTGAGTGAATGGTGGTTCGACCAATCAAATAGATAGTTGACTCTTAGTCCCGCCTTTCATCTCAAAATCATCCAATCAGTGTAAGGGGTGCCGGTCTCTGATTGGTTATGTATGCACTCCAATGCCAACATCGCGCCGCTTACATTACAAGCTGTTGTTTTGTGCTAATTTACTTCATTTAAAGTTTGATTATCCATTTCTGTTTTAACAATTTCTTATTCATTTTTATAGATTTGCATTTCAAAATGTTCCTAACAAGATCAGAATATGACAGGTAAGATGAAGAATGACCTTGATGTATACTTTATGCTTTCACTGCTATGAACGTCTTTTCATGGTTGTGTGTATTATATATTTATATGATTTTATATATACAATTATATTTACACACTTCTTTTCAAAGCATGTAAGCTAATGTCACCATCTTGTGTTGAAACTTTTACTTTCAGTTTTGTTTTACCAATATAATAAATGCATCAACTCTACGGTTTATTACAACGTATACAAGCTATTATTAATACAGATTTGAATACGCTTACTGTATCATATTGACTTTTATTTTCATCCTCAGAGGAGTTAACACTTTCTCACCAGAGGGAAGGCTTTTTCAAGTAGAATATGCTATTGAAGCCATCAAGGTAAATCTTTTCTGTATATATTGAGTTTTACTAACTGTCTACTAAAATAATAAGATAATATAATATGTAATACTTGTAATATCATATGTAGAACTTATTATTTCCAGAATATTGTGTCTTTCTCAGCTTTTCTCTTGTTGTAAGAAGTGAATGTCGGTGCTGATTTGCTTTGCTTGTCTTTCCAGTTGGGGTCCACAGCCATTGGCATCCAGACATCAGAGGGAGTGTGTCTCGCCGTGGAGAAGAGAATAACCTCTCCTCTGATGGAGCCCAGCAGCATTGAAAAGATTGTAGAGATCGACACTCATATTGGTTAGACAAACTTTTATTATATTACATATTCTCTGTGAGAATAGGGGTAATAAAGCTAGTTGTGAATGATAATGTTCATTTCTTAATACAGGCTGTGCCATGAGTGGCTTAATAGCTGATGCTAAAACGCTTATCGACAAAGCAAGAGTGGAAACACAGGTCAGTGAAAGTTTCTTCATTATCCGTATCGTCACCAAAGCCAATGAGTCTCATTCAGTAATAATTGTGTACAGGTGGCAGAAAATGTTTTCACTCCAAATGCAAAAGATTATATTGTAAGCATTCTAGTGTTTCTGCAGAACCACTGGTTTACCTACAATGAGACGATGACGGTGGAGAGCGTAACGCAGGCCGTGTCCAACCTCGCTCTGCAGTTTGGAGAAGAGGACGCTGACCCTGGCGCTATGGTAAGAGCCATTGGGCTTCGATATTTTTTTTTTCTCTCTCTCTCTCCCTGCAGTTGTGGTTTGAATACAAATTGTCTTTTTTTTTTTTTTTTTACTTTAGAGCCGTCCTTTTGGTGTCGCTCTGCTTTTTGGTGGTGTGGATGAGAAAGGACCTCAGCTGTAAGTATACTTTTTTTGATTTTAGTATTTAGCTAGGTAAATGTGCTGCATTTTGTTGCAGTAGATATTTAAAATAATTATGAATTTCGCTGGTTTGTTTTATTATGAGTGTTTTACCCTGCTTGATGTAGGAGAAAGATGAAGAATGACCTAGATCTAGAAATCTTTTTCCGGCCGTGATAATTTCCATTTGCATGCTTGTTTTTTTTTTCCTCGTCTCTCTATATAGAATAAAACGATTCACGGGACTCCGGCAAACTCTCTTTTATAATAATAAAGAACATTTTAATTTGCATTCACAAAAACGGGATTAGAATTGTGTAGTTCTAGAAGTAGTATCAAAAACATTATAATTGTTATTAAATTATTCCAAAATTTTTGTCCAAGATTCAAAAAGTTCAGAGAAGTCCTGAATACCTGGGTTTTCTTTATTAGGCACTGGTACAGACTTTTTTGGTTTGTATAGTATGTATGTAAATCACACTGATCTCTTGTTTCAGATACCACATGGATCCTTCTGGGACTTTTGTCCAGTGTGATGCCAGGGCTATTGGCTCAGCGTCTGAAGGTGCTCAGAGCTCTCTGCAGGAGGTTTACCACAAGGTTTGTTTACTCACTCTCTCCTCTTCATCTCCATTTACTTTTTAGGGTTTTATGAGAGGGGGTAAAATCTTTCCGTGGCAGGGACAGCTGCCACCGAGACCTGTCACTCCACCCGTCACCGCTAGTGGCAGCTGTCACTCGACCTGCCACCGCTATATTCGCCTGTCACCCGACCTGCCACCGCTATATTCGCCTGTCACTCGACCTGCCACCGCTATATTCGCCTGTCACCCGACCTGCCACCGCTATATTCGCCTGTCACCCGACCTGTCACGGCTATACGCGCCTGTCTCTCGACCTGTCACCGGTATATTCGCCTGTCACCCGACCTGTCACGGCTATACGCGCCTGTCCCGCGTCCTGCCACGGCCATACGCGCCTGTCCCACGATCTGTCATGGCTATACGCGCCTATCCCGCGTCCTGTCACGACTATACGCGCCTGTCCGACGATCTGTCACGGCTATATACGCGCCTATCTCGCGTCCTGTCACGGCTATACGCGCTTGTCCCGCGAACTGTCACGGCTATACGCGCCTATCCCGCGTCCTGTCACGGCTATACGCGCATGTCCCGCGAACTGTCCCTGCTATATACGCGCCTGTCCCGCGACCTGTCACGGCTACGCGCCTGTCCCTCAGGACATTCTAACGCTTAACGTGAAAAAACGCTTCGTGGCTCAGTGCACTAAGACAGTGATATTAAAAGACCAAACTCAGTACAAATCATATTAATAAACCATAGCCTATATAAAAAAATAAGATGAGTCCAAAATATGAACGCAATATTATTTATGGAGCCCGGGAAGTCACCTGTGGGGAAAAAAAAAAAACAATCCGAGGTGACGGTTTTGCAATCCGTCCCCTCAGTTTATAAAGTGTAGCCTACTCACGAATTCTACTGTTCCCTCGGTTTAACAATTCGTGCCCACGAATTAATACACCGTACCCACGAGTTCCTAATCCGTGCTCTCAGATTTGTAAACCGTGCCCTCAGTTTTTGCAATCTGTACCCAAATTGATAAACCGTGCCCACGCTTTCGCAATCCGTACTCACGGGTTTGTAATCCGTATGGTTAGACAATAATAATACTGAGATTATCACAAAGAAACACAAGATTTTGACGTATATCCAAGTGTTTGTGCACAAAATATAAATAACATTGACTTTTTGCCTTTATTAAACATTTAAAATATTCGCAAATTAATATGGAAAAAAAAAATTTACTTTCTAAAATCAAATTAGAAAAAAAAAACTATATTTTGCCCGCAGTGCTAAATGAGAAGAGCATGTCTCGGGAACCATACATAGAGATGATTTATAAGTGATTTATAGGCTAATCATAATAAATGTGTCTAAAAAAATAACGAGGGATTTTTATTGTTTAAATAAACAGTTTTCTAGTGACGGGCTAAACATCTCCATATCCGCTGTGAAGAGGATGCACCTTTAGAGAGAAATATCTCTTTCGGATTGTATTTGCTTTCGATTCGAATTTGTTCGTTTAAAAGTGGATATTTCAAGCTTTAGATATGCTTTTGTTTCAGCTCATTTATGAGACGCGCTCCGGAGATGAAAGAAAAACGCGCCTGATTGTTTTATTTTATTTTTACAAATACACACCGTGTTCTTGTTATTTTACAAATACACCGTTTTCTTGTTATTGTGAGTTTACACGAATAAAAGTAGTTACAAATAATGTATTATGTAGCCTATAGGCTAATGTACTTTTTCTGTATGACCAGAAATGCTAGATTATTTTAAATTGTTCCACTGTTGATAGGAACATGCTAGTGTTTGCGGCTGCGACTCAGTGACATGCATGCGCGCTCCATAAACACTTGGATGCGTCAAAAACCTGTGTTTGTTATAATCTTAGCCCATTATTATTGTCTAGACTGACATTTGACGAATTGCTCTGTTCTTTTTTTGTGTGGATAAAAGCGTCTTAGGCCTATAGCTAAATGGATTTTGATAGCTAATTATTATTTGCGTTTATTACTAGAGTTCACCGAAGACAGTAATATGTTTAACATACAATTATTTATAACTTATAACCAAATCTTTTACAGTTTTTGAACTGTGCTATTATTATTTTATTTTATTTGATTTTTTTCGCTTAGTATAGCCTACTGAGATTTTTCCTCTAAAAATGGACTTTAAAGATAAAAGTAGCCTAAATGTAGGCCTAGTTTTTTTTTTTAGAAAATGCAAGAAATTATCCATTTTAAAAAAAGGATTTTAAAAACAATGCAATGCATCCCGCATCTAAACAGAGGCATGGTTGAATCATGCGGCACATTTTGGGGGACGAGGCAAATGATTTAACAGATGATTTGAGCCCTGATTTATAGGTGATTTATAGGCTAATCATAATTAATGTGTCTGAAAAATAAAGATGGATTTTTATTGTTTAAATAAACTGTTTTATAGTGTGGGCTAAACATATCTCTCTGCGCTTTAGAGAAATGTACCTTTCGGACTGCTTGATTCGTTTAAAGTGGACATTTGCATATTTCAAGCTTTAGATAGGCGTTTGTTTCAGTTCATTTATGAGACGCGCTCCAGAAATCATGATAGCTCGCCTGATTGTTTTATTTTATTTTACAGTGGGGAAATTTGCAAATTATTAATAGGCTAATTATTAATAGTAGGTTAATTATAATAATAAAAGGAGTTTCTTTTTTTTCGAAATATTTCTCAAACAGCATATAGCCTATATTAAATATAATCATTATTAGGCCTACTACTATATTGTGTAGAATAGGCTGCATAGAATATTAACTAGCCCATATCTAGATTTATTTAACCATGAGTAAGAGGCGCGTAGGCTATATAGCCGTGACGGGTCGCGGGACACATACAGCAGTGACAGGTCGAGAGACAGGCGCATAAAGCCGTGACGGGTCGCGGGACATGCGCGTATAGTAGCCTATAGCCGTGAAAGGTCGCGGGACTGGCGGAAATAACCGTGACATGTCGCGGGAGTCGGGACAGGCGCGTATAGCCGTGACAGGTCGCGGGACTGACGCATATAACCGTGACAGGTCGCGGGACAGGCAAATATAGCCAGGACAAATCGCGGGACAGGCGCGTATAGCCATGACAAGACTCGGGACAGGCGCGTATAGAAGGGACAGGTCGCGGGACTGGCGCATATAGCCGTGACAGATCACGGGATAGGCGCGTATAGCTGTGATAGGTCGGGTGACAGGCGAATATAGCGATGACAGGTCGAGAGACAGGCGAATATAGCGGTGACAGGTCGAGTGACAGGCGAATATAGCGGTGGCAGGTCGGGTGACAGGCAAATATAGCGGTGGCAGGTCGAGTGACAGGCGAATATAGCGGTGGCAGGTCGGGTGACAGGCGAATATAGCGGTGGCAGGTCGAGTGACAGGCGAATATAGCGGTGGCAGGTCGGGTGACAGGCGAATATAGCGGTGGCAGGTTGGGTGACAGGCGCATATAGCGGTGGCAGGTCGAGTGACAGCTGCCACTAGCGGTGACGGGTGGAGTGACAGGTCTCGGTGGCAGCTGCCCCTGCCACGGAAAGATTTTACCCTTACTGGGTTTTATGGTGAAATTAATAATGAAATAGTAATCTGATTGCTCAGTTTTGATGCTACAGCTCAACATTCCTTGAGCCTGCACAAACTTTCAAAAGTAGCATTTTTGTATCTGAAACAACTTAGTGATTTGTCTAAGTCTAATTTGATATTGAGTAAATATTGAATAAAAAAAAATTGCCCAAGCCAAGCAACTATTTTTGCGAGTTGTATAATATAATTTTAAAGGCAAATATAGGCAATTTGGGGTCAACTAACCCTAACCTGTAACATATATTATATAGTTATGTACTTTTATATAATGGAAAATCATCTCCATGTGTATATAACAACAGTCCAAGCTCTAACTTCGCCATCTGATCCATAATGCCACAGCCAGGATATATCAAGATGATATTTGAGAGAGAATCCTACAGCAGCAAATTGAGCCACGTGGTCAGGAAATCAGTCCCTTTTTAAATCCACCCCACCCATCTTCCCATTCCAGTATGTCATGCCTCTACTAGTGTAACTTTAGTCACAAGACTCACCCATGTGACCCTGCAATCTAATAAGCAGCGGCCAGTGTCCAAAAGACTTCTTCATAAATCGAATTGCTTTGGGGGAAAAATAATCGCACATAACTTGTCGCTTCTGTTACCCAGAATCTCTTTATGTTTTTCAGTCCATGACGTTAAAGGAAGCCATCAAGTCTTCTCTCACTATTCTGAAACAAGTGATGGAGGAGAAACTCAATGCCACTAACATTGAGGTAATGCACAAGCTCCTCTCCTCACATGGTGTCGGTCATGTGAAATATGATTTAATTTAAAAGTATTTGAAGGTCTGACAATTTCCTTTTCTCTTCTTGCAGCTTGCCACAGTAGAGCCCGGCAAGACCTTTCACATGTACACAAAAGAAGAGCTTGAGGATGTCATCAAGGATATCTAGAGCTGTGCTAAGCCCGACTGATGTTCAATACAAAAATTTCTGTGTAATTTTGTGTGAATCAACACACAGCAATTGCATACGTAATACTCTGGCTGCATCCTACGGTTTGCCTGTTCAGACAGGAATTGAGTTTTTACTTTTCTTCTTATGTCAATCCCAAAATTTCTATAGTTCTGTACAAGCACAGGACAGCAGGTCTTGTAGTGGAATTAAATGGGGGGTTCTTTTTGTTACCAATCACTGCGATAATAAACTGTTGTTGAAAAACTGATGAGTTTGTTTTTTTCTTTTACGAGTCATTTATAGGCTAATAAAGAAAAAAAGGAAATATCATGTGCTGTAAATCTTTATTATAAGTACAGCAGTTCAATTGCATGCAAAAGTTTAAAGGATAAAATTTTTTATTATTATATATTTTTTGGTGTGTGTGTGTATAATGCTCATTTTTATAATTTAATATAATGCCATGCATATACAATTGTTTTTGTGAAACTAACTCTTGTTTTTGTTTATTTCTATAAAATAAATCTATATAAAAAAAATTATATTTTTATTAGGGCTGTCAAACGATTAATCATGATTAATCGCATCCAAAATAAAAGTCTGCGTTTACATAATATATGTGGGTGCACTGTGTATAATTATTTTATATACAGTATATAAATACACACACATGCTTATATTTAAGAAATATTTTCATGTATATACTGTATAGATTTTTACATAATTTATATTATATTAAAATATTTTATATACAAAACTAATATTTTTTTATTCTTAAAAATACATGCATGTGAGTATTTTTATTTTGGATGTGATTAATCGTTTGACAGCCCTAATTTTTATATATAATGTCTCTTTGTACGGTTAACATGAACAATGTCACAAATTTAATTTTATTAGTGGCCTTATTAATTTTTCACCAACGGTTCTTTGTTTTAAAAATGTAGAAACAATATTTTTTTTGAATATAGTTCAGTAACATTTTATAAATTACATTTATTCAATACAAGTTACAATACTACAGTAATTATATAGTTCTATATAGTAATAATAAAAGTAATTATTTAATAAAAATATTTTCGCCAGTTTCTATATCGTCAAATATGTTGAGTAGTCTTACCAAAACATCAATGCAATAAAAATATACACAGCACTAGTTTTGTTGTCATTTTAAATTGGAAGGAAGACAGACTGGTGCCACAAAATTTGTAAGATAGGTTGGTCAGCAGAAGGCGTGGTTAACCCAGTTCTGCTTGCCTCTTAATATTCATGAACCATGCCCCCGCCATTGGTCAATGGTGGAGTAATGTCGATATTTTCTTATTAATATTAATAGTAAGCCTTTGCGTTTGGAATGTTAACGCGGGCAAACCTGCGGCCATTGAAAGGGTTACCAGGAAACGTCAGCGCCCCCGAATTAATATTCATGAGAATGGGCGTGTCGAACGGACAGCCCATCCTAATCTTGAACAATCCGCGAGTTAGTTTAGCAGTGCGAACAGCGGCTTCACTACAGACATGAGTCAGAGTGTAAACACTGCAGGTTCTCTTCTATTACCAATAAACCTGCTATTCATGGACATTTAGACAGGAGAATTTTGTGCAAATTAAACGGAAACCATGAGTACCGTATTCTGCTGTATTTTGGTTGTGTTAGTCTCGGTGGCTCTTTGCGTGGACTTTGAAGAGAGACCCAGACGCTTTAGCCGTGAGCAACCCATGTTTCGAAAGAGTCACAAATCACGAAATTTGCTCAGTTTGAGAGATTTACAGCAGCCGGATCATGTCAGGATGAAAAGGAGTGAAGAATCCGCACAAAATCAATGTGAATCACTGCACGGCTTTGATTCTACGTTAAAAAACAACACTCATACGGTAAGTCAAAACATATTTTACTCTTTATACTCGTATCACAGCTCAGAATAGGCATAATATATTATATATTAGTATATATTGAAAAGCTTTGTGCATATAATGTTAATGTTACATTTTATTTGGAATCCCCCCACCCCTCCCCCTGTTTTGATTAGTTAACACTTGTTTAAGTATCGTTTTTTTAATTAAAAATTAGTATTTCCTACTATTTTGGAAGCTCTTTCTAAATTTCTAGGGACCATAAATCACGAAAAAAGTGAGATCATACTACTGGCCTCATGTCTGAGATTACCTAACAATGTACCTAGCAGCTACATCACCTTTCTCAGCAACTGAATGTTATTTTTTCAAATTCCTCACAGCATTGCCACACCAACATTTTTAAGACTTTCACGTCTCTAATGGAATTACATTAATATTTAAGAAGTGTTTCGAGGAGTATTGAAACAAGCTCTCAAATAAAATGATGTTTGTGAAGTTTTCCAGTCACTCTGCATGTAGTATCACCTTATACTTAGATGGGCCGGTGTTTGATGTTCCTTTAAGACTTTCCTCAGATTTCATCTTTATGCCAAGAGAACGAATGCATTCACCTCTTGATGTGCTTCTAATGTCTCTGCGATCTGTTTTCTCCTGTATCCATGTACAGAAGGGTCAGGTGATTCTGCTTAACTAGATCTAGTCAGAGCTCATTCATTACAGTGGCCCATGACTGATTACTAACCCTTAGGAAGTCAGAAAACAAGCTGCCTCCCTATAATCTCTCATATCTAACTCTCTCCCACAAGCCCATCAATTAGGTTTTACCAGCAGTTGGCGTGACCTCTCGCCGGACAGGCATTATCGGTAAACGATGAGCTACATATATGCCAATCTATATCTTTTATATCAATCCTGTTCTGTGGGAACTGGGAAACATCCCCTATTTATCCAAATACAGAGCACATTGACATTTCAGGGAAAGCTAAGGCTATAGCCTAAGTTCTGAGTAAACGTGCAGATAGAGAAAGACTGTTGTTGTTAAGAAAGAATACAGAGCCAGTTTTTTTTTTTTTTTTTATGGCCAGTATTTTTGGCTCTCATCCTCTCACATTCCGTCCAGCATAAATGAGTGTTGAAGTGAAATGCTTCCTCCAAGAAAGGAATGTTTCTGAAACGGGAAAAGGCTTGAGGCATGACAACAGTGGGAAAACTATTTGAAGGCAACAGCATCTCCTTGTTAAATTCAGTTTCAGACCTTTTAACAGTAAGTTTTGAAGATTAACTTGCATGCATAGTGTTCCTGCCAACAGTACATGTAAAGTTATTGCAGTTAGAGCCTATTTTGACTCCTTCCATTATGATTCAGATATTTATACATGGCCACTCTTGAGGTGGGGATTTCATAACATGTACTTGGTATTCATCTCAGGTTGTCGTGTTCTCATGTGATATATATATAAAATTGTCGTAAGTTCTTCGGCAATGAGTCGGCTCTCGATATTTCAGCTGAACAAATTTCCCATATTTCTACTGTAGCATCATTTTTTGGTCAATTGTTAATATGTCTTGACTGTTGTAGGGTTGTGAAACGATTAATCGCGATTAATCGCATCCAAAATAAAAGTTTGTGTTTAATATATGTGTGTGTGTAATTATTTTGTATATATAAATACACACACACATGCATGTATATATTTAAAAAATATTTGCATGTATATACTTTATGTATGTTTATACAAAATGTATATTATACATAAATATAAATATTTGATATATTAAATAACACATTTTTCTTAAATATATACATGCATATGTGTATATTTATATATACAAAATAATTATACACACTACACACACATATATTATGTAAACACAAACTTTTATTTTGGATGCGATTAATCGCGATGAATCGTTTCACAGCCCTAGACTGTTGACGTGTTTTCTTGTTTTAGCTTATCTGCATTGTGTGCACAAAATGATAGATGCTGAAACTGTCAAAACGTGTCATTGATAATTGATTGAGCTTACTATTTTTGGTTGCTGAAATTTTGATGCAAGTTTCTATGTTTCTGCATAGAAAAGTAATAGCAGGATTAAGGTGTCATTCATGTGCGCAGCAGGTTAAATTATGTGCTTAAGTTTTATTCTTGCCATGGACATGTTTTGTAAATTCCAACTTATTGTGTCCAATGACATGCAACAAAATGTCAACACTGCAAGCTATTTACCCAGTGATTTACTGATAGTTTATAGATCAAATATAATTAGTTATCAGTGAAGCATCGAGTTTATGATCTAAAAAGCGATCATTTGGATGCTTGCAGTGCTAAGTTTAAAGCATATATTCCAGATTTGTTCCAGTCCAAAATGTGCAACCATGGTGTTGCGCAAGAGCCTGTGGTCAGTCGACGTGAAAACTGGCTGCTGACCGATGGAATTTATGACCTGCCAGAGCAATTAGAAATTTACGAGCTCACAATAAAGTCTTTAACAACTGCCTGTAGTTTCTTCTAATGAAGTCTGCGTGAACTTATAACGGTGCACATGTTCAGACAGCTTTGTGGGTGAAGTTTGCGTTTGAATGATTTGAGATGCTCTTTTGGAGGCTGGAAGACTTTTTAAGACTCCGCTCTGGATGTTTAAATCCAAGTTGTGCCAGTAGGGAGTTATTTATGTGAGTCCAATGAAAACACAAACACGGCTTCATCTAACGAACTGCTGACCTCTTACCCATTTCAGTGTGCCGTTTCAGTTAGGAAAAACGTGGTTTAAGATCTTCATTCCAGGATATTTTTGTGCATGTTTTTGAATCACGTGTTAGCATTCGCCCACCTGTCTAAATAGCACTTATTGTGAGACTGACTTGAGACGCGTTTCATATTAAACCCAATTTTTTACTTTCTAGAAATGAAGTCATGTTTGTTGTTGGTCCTCAGACTGTGAAGCCATTTGGACCAAGTCTAAAGCTTCTTTTGGCTGGACATGGGGTTCAAAGACTGTTTACCAGTTAAACACAAGGGAAAGACGTTCAGTTTTTTTCCTTTTCCTGGTCCTGGGGAGAATGTACAGAGAAAACATTTTCTGTCCTCTCTGAAATGCTCAGGGTTGGTGAGATGCCAGAAAAGCAGCCCGAACAATGTTCCTTGTGGTTCTAACATGTCCACTGGAGAGGACGTGTTGAGCTAAGACTAGAGCTGGAAAAGAGTAGGAGTATATAATGAAGTTTTCTATACATTTCTCCCATTGTACAGTACAGTACATATATTGCAGATATTTTTCTTGGAAAAGCCTATCTGCCATGTCTGAATGTTATTGTTTTGGAGGATTTCAAGGGCCCCATGGCCCCACGCTCAGGTGGCCTCTCCAAGCCTTAACACAGCAGACATGCTTTAATATTATTCAGCTCTCTCCCCGCAGGATGGATTTTCTCTGCAAATATCCCCATCGGTTGATTGTATCACTCAACTTTGTGAAAACAGACCTTAGTAATCCACCAGCATTGACCTGTAACCATTTTGCAAGCCTGTTAATGGTGGTAGGGATTCAAGGAATCTGATTCCTGGCCAGGATTACCACACAACCATTACCTTGACCAGACACATTCACATACACACAAACACAGATGCTAATACTTCCAAGTGCTTTGCAAATGTGCAGTATGAATTCTTGTGAGACCGTGGCAGTTACTAAGGAATTCTAATATACCTGAAAAAGCTCACAGTTGGCACTGTGTTCCTTTTAAAACAGAAAAACTTTTGCATCCCCTCATATCTTGTACACCATTGGAGTACGGTTAGGCCCTGTTTATACCTGATATTAAAATCCGTTGGTTGATCAAAATATGATCACAAGTGGAGGATGCTAAATACAGGTGTAAACGGGGTCTAAGATGTTTTGACATTTACATTTATTCATTTAGCAGACGCTTTGAGATGGTCCTCACTGCAGAACACGAAATGCAGGGGGAGGAGTTGGATTCAGATCTAATTCCTCCCACCTTATATATACCTAAACCTACCAATCTCCACCCCCTGATCTCCAACTCCACCCCTAATCCTACCCATCTCCACCCCTGATCCCAAACCCCACCCCTAATCCTACCCATCTCCACCCCTGATCCCAAACCCACCCCTAATCCTACCCATCTCCGCCCCCTGATCCCTAACCCCACCCCTAATCCTAACCCCTTTTATCCAGATCCAACTCCGCCCCATGGATCTTGTGTACTGCAATGAGGTGCTACTGGACGCCTTTAACCAAAGAGAACAATAGTAGCAGTTAAATTAACAATAGAACAACAATATGCAATTTGCAAGTGTAATCTACCCCATTTACACCTGTATTTAGCGTCCTCCACTTTGTGATATGATTCCTGATAGCCACTAGACCAATAACATTGGTCTAGTGGCTATCAGAGCAGAAATGAAAGCTGATGAACTTAGGATAGAGCCATAGCGTTTGTCTAGCCTTTAGGGCCTTACTTTGAGTCGTGTTCTTTGGTCTTCTCCTAACTGAAGGATCGTTGTATGCTCACAATGTCTTTTCATCACTCTTTAATCCCCCATTTAAGAAGACTTGTTGGCGTGGTGCAAGCCATTCTTGGCAAGCCTGTTTTTTGTTGGCCAGTACTTGGGATGTCAGCATGTTTCTTTCCTTCTGGTTTAAATATGGCAAGGAATGGAGAGGCTACCACTGTATGCATTATTCAAAGACACATTATTGAGAAGGAACACTGGCCTTGGAGTTTAAGCAGGTGTTTTACGACGTCTCGCTCTTGCTGTTCTAGAACACATGTACCATTCAGGGTCTGCTTTGAGGTGGGTTGCATCAGAAGGACGTTGGCTGGGTTGGTAACATGGAAACTTTTGTTCACACTTTGGATTGTGAGAGTGCAAATTTCCATTAGGCCTGAACGCTAGTGAGTTTCAAAAATGCTGCGGTTCTTTTGCTTCCCTGGACCTTGTACGGTTGCTTTTTTAAGAGAAAAGAAAAAAGAAAATGTGTAAAAATTGTAAGATGATGTCATCACTGAGGAGAAGTGAGAAACGCATTATTCTGTGACATGATCATTGATCTCCAGGGGCTTGGGTGGAATTGCAGAAATGCAGAGAGGATGTGATCCGTAGAAAGGAGTGCGGTGTAAAGGGCCTCCTTTGACAAAAATGTCCATATGGACTGTAAAATAGTAGATGAGACACTCAAAATGGATCTGAATGTGTGTGGATGGGGATTTGTCATTATACCATACGTTTTTACTTTATCCAGTTATGGTTTGTGAGTGGTTTTGTGCCAAACTGTAATGCATTGCATTTTAAGACATCATAGACCAATTTTAGACTTTACCTTTATAAAATTATACATCATTGATTGCACAATCAGTTTTGACTCTATACCCACCCAGGTTGATTGGCCTTTTAATGTTTTGTAACTTAAAGGTTATTTTGTTGTATATTTTATTTTATTTTATTTTTATTCTGTCTGTACCTGTCCTGTTTGATGTTTATTACAGATTTATATTATTTTTCTATATTTTACTTTTGTATTTTACTTTACACTGGTTTACTATTTTATTTTATGTTCAGGATTATTTTATTTTATTTTTATTCCAATTTAATGTACTTACGTTGGGTCAACTTATTTATTAAGGTTGATTCAACTTATTTACTATGGTTGGGCACAGCTTCATTTAATATTGTCAGTGAATAATTGTCAGGTTTTAGCGTATTATTACATTTATTTCACTTTTATTACATTTTATTTTTTATTTTTTATTTTCATTATCTTGATACTCATATTAAAACTATTGAAATAAAAAAGGTATTTTTAATTAAAAAAAAATGATGCATACACTCTTTAAATGAACATAAAAAATCATGGAAAGGTTTACCACATGGTTAACTTGCTTTATTTCAGCATTATGCAATTCTGTTATTCCAATTTAATGTACTTATGTTGGGTCAACTTAATTTATTAAGGTTGATTCAACTTATTTACTATGGTTGGGCACAGCTTCATTTAATATTGTCAGTGAATTTAAAAAGGCTTTCTGATATGATTCAGGTATTCAAATTCATAATATTCATTCATCCAATACAATATAATTCATTTTAGTGTCAGACTAATACATTTCTAGACTATAACCTATTAGCTACCAATAGCACTTGTTAGCATCTTAAATTAAAAGATTTTCATGCTTCATCAATCAAAGCGTTTGCTGAGAGTATTGTTAAATCGGTTTTCAGACTAACCAAATGCTCCACTCTTGCAATTTAAATGGTACTAATAATTGCAATATAATTGAACATTAAATACAATTACGCACTATAAAGTCTTCCCCTTTTCTAATTTTCTCAAAAACACATAAAATAACACTTAATTTAGACATTTATTCTCTCTTTATTCTTCCATATGCAAAGCATGCTGGGAACTAACAAGCACAGCCCAATTTCAGTCAATGCAACACAAATCATTCATGTAATCCAACACAAACGGATTAAGTCAACTTAAATTTGACATATTTAAGTAGATTGAATGCAATTAAGTTTGGACAAAATGTATAGCAAAAGCAGCAAAAAAAAAAAATTTCAGTGTATATCGCATACAACGCTGTTACCACATTATTTTATCCCATTACAAAACAAACACCCAGGAATGTTTGGCTCTGTTTGGCTTCGAAACCTAGTGAACTGCCTACATACGCACCATTTTAAGACACCATGAATACTCCTGACACAAAGTCTGTTCCAAATGTTAACAACATTACTTTGTAAAAAAATCTATTTTAAAAAAAGTAATCCCAGAATGCATTGCAACAAGCTCAGTTGAAAGAGTTTGGTGAGTTGATTTTAAATAAGAATGTTGCCACTCTAATGCTATAATATTTTACGCAATAAGCATTTGTGCTATATATTAGTTTAGCAACATGCATAACCAAAGCCAAAAACTATCGAAATCAATCGTGCATTTCACATAAAGATTTGTGGAATTGCTGTCAATGCAGAGCATCCAAATCGGTCCCTTATGAGGTTGCATATTGGAGCCAAATGCCTATGTAGCAAGTAGCCAGGCAGCTCACTAGCTTTGGAACAGAGCCTGAGCCTGTGTATGTGTGCTTGGATTTTCTTTATTCTTTTCCCTCCTTTTCTCTCCCACAATCTCTTTGACATCAGTTGCTCTCTTGTTCTCAGTGTGTGAGGCAGATGAAAATGTGGGGCACTCACTCTGTTCCTCACACACACACACACACACACACACACACACATACACACCATCTGGGTCTTGCATTCCATTGAGTGAAACTGAAAGAGAGGTTACACACTCGACTGACAGCGGGCCTGTCCTCTTAAATGCGCACACACACACACACACATTCCCTAGCAGTGTGGGTCGGCTGACAGCGGCACAGCCATCTGTCGAATCAGCAGTGTTTTCTGTGTGTGCATGTCTCTACATGGCTCCGCTTCCCCGTGGACAGATAAATCCCAGCACTTGTGTTTTTCTTCCAAGAATCAACTGGACTTTTCCAATTAATCACCGGGAATACGTTTGCTTAGTTGTCTTTTATTATAGGCATTACTAACATAAATTTAATACAATTTATTTCATATCTGATTGGTGATTGGTTTAACTTAGATTAGTGTTTCAGTTGTTTGTTTGATATAGCCTGACCGCTTTTCTGACTTTTCTCTCGATGAAAAGACTCTACGACTCTCATGTATCCCGTTTATGTTTTAAAAGAAATATCAACAGATATAACTCAAATTATTTCTCTCCAAATTATCTGAGCAATGAATCTACATGAATTGTATTGCTCTTTACTATTACTTTACGCAACAATTGTAACAAATGCCTTTTTGTGTCTGATTTTGTCTCTAAATAGTAATATACTAAATATCAAAACATTGTTAATAGATTTGCAAATAAAATGTGCTTATAAAATGATGTTTTGTTCTCTTTGTTATATTTAATACAGCAATACAGTTTCCATTTCCACGCACTTTTTTGCTTATATTAGCTTTTTTGTTTGATTTGTGTGACCACTATTCTGTACTGGATGTTTATTTATTTTTTAGCAATGTAAAGGTGTGGTTTTCAGTCATTATTTTTGTTTTAATTTCCTTATATATATATATATATATATATATATATATATATATATATATATATTTTCCATATATATATTTAGTCCGATTCCAGCCTGCAATCTCATCCCTGTAGACTACAGTGAAAGCCTATGGTGTTTAGTTTCACCACAGAAGCGCTCTGAAAACAAACCTGCATTAGAGAGAGATAGAGAGAGAGATATTAAAATAAAATGGATTTCAGAGCTCAAATGTACTTAATTTATGTCTCTACGTCTCTTTTCCAGTATAACTTCAATGACCTGAGTGGCTCGGTGTCTCTGGCCTGGGTTGGAGACGATACAGGGGTGAGTCGAATTTGACTAATTATCTACATAGGAATACAATATCATGAAAAATATCTAGTTTTAAATTTAAATGCATCGTTACTGTAAAATATGGGATTTTTGTCTGCCCACATCATCTGTATCCTACAATGAAAGGTGAACTTAATGAATTGATATTGATATTGAATTGATATCCAATGATGTTTCTTGTTAGGTCAATCTGTGGCCTACCTAAAGTCATTTATTATCCTCATAATAAACCCACCACAACATAGCAGCCGTGTTTTTAATGCACCACTTACAACAAAATGTGTGAACAGCATCACACCATTTGACAAAAAATGAAAAACGGCCACCATAATGTCACTGACATGCTGATTTCCCATATAAATATCATCTGTTCTTTCTCTTTGGGATTTGAACCAACAACCTTTGATTTATCCCAATCCTTCTAATCCACTATGTTTACTAACCAGTAGCCGATCAAAAAAATGTGCAATTGTCAGTTTAACCCAAGATTCATGATCTAAATCGCAGGAATGTGGCTCCTGCAATCGCGCATCAATGTGAAACTAGAACGAGTGAAATACAGCTTCAGCGGCTGAAAGACTCTTCAGAGCCTGGCTTGACAAGACCTCAAACTGTCATTGAGGGCCAACAACACTGGATGTGGAATCCGTCTCTTATAGAACTGAACCAAAGTGCTGCTGTAAAACATCTACAAGCTGCAATTACTCCTCCAGCGCAGCCTGAACCCAACAACAACACTCCGATACATTTCTGCTAACTCTCTGCAAACATTTTCAAAGAGTGGCGTCTTTTGAGACACCTTTTCTACTTTTGAGGTGTCATTGTTAGCACCATTCTGGTAATTGCTTATTGCACCTTTAACGAATATTGTTCTAATTGTCCAGCCTTTTTCAGGCACTTAAAGAAGTTCCCACAAGTCTTTCTTTTGTAAGAAGAAACACAAATAGAAATGGACCCTATTTACTTTTTAAAAAATATGGGGTTTCATCTTCAAATGTGTTTGAAATGACTTTATTTTTTCATTGACAAAAATCTGTGAAGTGCAGGATGTCATTTAATATTTTTGGTCCAATTTTCCTGAAGAGACTTAAACACTACGTAATACCTAATTGCTTTCTATTAAGTTAAGTGAAATATATATACTTCAAAAAACTAAATATAAATATAAAAATTTATATTTAAATATAATTTTTTTATTTATAATATTTGAATGAAAACATTTTTGTGAACCGTTTATATTAAACATCAAAAGCACATTTTTTGTGACTTTTAATTCATGACTTAGTTTTCCGGGTATATGTGTGTATTTATAAAAAATATCTAAATATAGATATAGATAGATAAGCCAACAGGCATGAACTAAAAGTCACAAAACTTTGCTTTTGATGGGTTATTTAATATAAATGGTTCACATTTTTTTTGGTCTTTTTAATCTTTCATTGAAATATAATAAATTACTCTGCCTCTTCTTTCTGCCTCTTAATTACCTTCATTTTTAGCTGATTTCACCTAGACTGTATTGACTATTGGCGAATGTTAATTATTTCTTTATTTTCTGGAAATGTGTCACATTATGAAAGTAAAATGGATTGCAAATACCATTTCATGTTGACTTAAGGATTGGAGACAGGAGTTAAATGAGAACAAGGCACCGACCAATCAGAATCTTCTCTGCAAGCAGCAAGTGCCTGGTCTTGAGTGATAGCTGGATGAATTAAGTGTGAAGGGTGAGATTGTGGCTGTTCTCAAGTCCAGGCTTGTGTCCTGCAGTATCCCGGCCGAGTTTAAATCATGCTTCACTGCACTGCGAGTTTCTGAACGACTCTGAGTCTTTCACATCCATATGCTATAGCGTTCGTTCACTGTGTCCCTCTTCTGTGCAGGTGCTACTGGTGCTCACCACGTTCCAGGTTCCTCTTTTTATCATGCGGTTTGGTCAGTCCAGACTGTACAGAAGGTAAGAGAGCTTTTTAAGGACAGTGTCCAAGCTCTTACCAGAAGAATTGAGTTTTTAAGTCAAGAAATTGTAGGTGAATAGGGTAATATATATATATGTGTGTGTGTGTGTGTGTGTGTGTGAAGAGTTCAGATGCAAAAGCCTCTAAATGCCATTTGAAATTTTCTTCTTTAATGATGATTTTTATCAAACTTGTATATTTAAGTTCAGTAATTTCACTTAAATAACAATTAATAGGTAATTATCATTGCCATTTAAGTGAAATCACTAAACTTAAATATACAAGCTTGATAAAAATTATCATTCTAGAAGAAAATTTCAAATGGCACTTAGAGGCTTTTGCATCTGAACTCTTCATATATATATATATATACTGTATATATATAGCCTTATATATATATTCTCACCATACTTCCCTAGTTGATTGATTACATTAGGTATTACAAAAAAAAAAAAAATGCATTACAGGTTTTTCACTAGTCTGAAACGGCACATTATGAAAGGTCAAATAGCCCAAAATCTAAAGATTTGTCTTTGTGTCTCAATATGATCTTGCCTTAACGGGATTAATAGAGTGCAAATAATCCTTCCTCTTCTAGTGTTGAGTTAGCTCAATACAAATGTTGGTACACATTTGGTTGTTTAGCTATATCACATGATCCATAACTCCCCCTTATCTCTTCTGGGTCAGTGAAGACTATGGAAAGACATTCCAGGACATCACCGACCTCATTAACAACACTTTCATACAGACAGAGTTTGGCATCGCAATTGGTCCTGACAATTCTGGGAAGGTGAATATTTACTTCTCTGCTGTAATATTGAACTGTTCTGAAAGGAATATTTCTGGTTATTTTCAAAGTAATGTCCATAGACACTGTGGTGTGCTTTGAAATCTTGACATTTATACAAGCAAACAAGTTCATACAGGTCAGGTGGAAAGTTGTGCCACCTAAAAAAGGATGAGGTTTAATAACAAACATACACTACCAAAAAAAAAAAGTTAAATACTTTTTTAAATGCTTTTATTCAGCAACAATTGCAGTAGATATTTACAATGTAAAAAAAAAGATTTCTATTTCAAATAAATGCTGTTCTTTTGAACTTATTATTCATCAATGTACCACAGTTTCCACATAAATATTAAACATTACAACTGTTTTCAAAATTGATAATAGTATGAAATATTTCTTGAGGACCAAATCAGCATATTTGAATGTTTTCCGAAGGATCATGTGACACACTGAAGACTGGAATAATTCAGCTTTTCCATCACACAAATAAATATAATTTCAAAATATATTTAAATAGAAAACAGCTATTTTGAATTATAATAATATTTCACATTTATGCTGATTTTACCTTATTTTTGATTAAATAAATGAAGCTTCGTGTTTTTGGTTGCTTACAAATACATTGAAATAATCAATAAATCGTTTTTTTAATTGATTACTGAACAGGGTCATGCTCTGTCCCACAGGTGATCCTCACAGGCGATCTGACGGAGGGGAGAGTCACCAAAATTTTCCGTTCAGTTGATTTCGGCAACAGCTTTGTGACCTCTGAGCTTCCCTTCCATCCATTAATGCAGATCACATACAACCCCAGAGACAGCAACATACTCATGGTCTACAGCATCAATGTAAGACCTCTGATTAGACGTTTCCTTTCGGTTTTGTGCCAAAGAACATGTACTAACGCTGTTTTCTTCTTGATTCAGTATGACTTATGGCTGTCCGAGGACTTCGGGGGCAGTTGGAGGAAGATCCACGAGGCTGTTTGTCTTGTGAAATGGTATGACTGTAAACAAGAAGAACATAAATGAATCAGTAACAATAGTCCATTGTCCTTGCAGCTCATTCTGGCCCATCATTTGAAGGACCAAAGTTTGCTTTTATGTGATATTTAGTGGCAGGTCAATATGAAATTTGATATAACTCTGGGTGGTAATGTTTGGTTTGTTTAGCTGCTACCAGGTGTCTCAAAATAAACTTTCCAAGATTATATATCCCCAAGATTCAATGTCATGAACCCTGCAACCCGAGTACTTGTAAATACAACTTTGAATCCATTTGATGAAAAGCTGTGCATCGATCCAGACTGCCATAAATAGTACATAGCTTAACAGTCATGTTTCTTGTGTGCGAGTTATTCGTCCAAAAAGTCATTTTTGACTCTCCATTGTGATTGGTCATTGTGTGTCCAAGTGCTGAAAGGTTCTGATGTAACAATTTGATGTGGTTTCGCTCCCTAGAGCTAATTTAGATTTAATTGTTTTAATAAGAGTTAATTTCTCTTGATTGTCAAGGGAAGCAAAATCCGTTGCGATTACATTTTTGTAATGTGTGCATTGGTTTGAGGTTAGGATTCTCACACAAAAACATTTCATTCTGTCTGTTTATCTTTGTATGGTTTTTAAATGTCCCAGAATTATTTACTTTTTCAGTCAAAAACGAAATCTCTTGCAGAATCCCAAAGGCAGAATGTTTGAGGTTTTGTTTTCATTACCCAAAGCACCATAAAATGCATTAAAAAGCAATTTTCATTTTGCATGAACTATTCCTTTGTGGTTTACAATCCTAACCCTCATAAATATGGTCCTGGTATCAATGGATTTCTTACACTGAAGAAACTGAGGCCTTTGGTTAGATTTGAAGTCGCAGTGCTTTATAGAAATGCCCTTAGCTTTTGCTTTGCTTTTGCAATTCGGCATGGATGGATGGAAATTTCTGATTGCATCTGTTTGCTTGACATTTCAGGGGAATTGATGACACCATTTTCTTAACTACAAATCCCAATGGATCCTGCAGTGAGTGACTTTATGGCCCCGTCATTTGAATAATGCTGCAAATGGATAGATGCTTCCCACTTATTGTTTCTCTCTAAGTCATATTTTTGAATATCTCTCTCTCTCTCTCTCTCTCTCTCAGGTGACCGGGGAACCTTGGAATTGAGAAAATCATTAGACTATGGCAGGACATTTAAAACTATTGGGAGCAGGATTTATTCCTTCGGCTTGGGTGGACGCTTTGTTTTTGCCTCTGTCATGACTGACTCGGTGAGCTCTCTTAAAATCTTAAGTGATGTCATGTATAATTCTCTTACAAATTGTAGTGTGCTGCCCAATTGGATAACATTTTTAGATATCAAAAAGGCTTCCTTTTGACCAAAATCACCATACACTCGCCTAAAGAATTATTAGGAACATCTGTTCAATTTCTCATTAATGCAATTATCTAATCAACCAATCACATGGCAGTTGCTTCAATGCATTTAGGGGTGTGGTCCTGGTCAAGACAATCTCCTGAACTCCAAATTGAATGTCAGAATGGGAAAGAAAGTGATTTAAGCAATTTTGAGCGTGGCATGGTTGTTGGTACCAGACGGGCCGGTCTGAGTATTTCACAATCTGCTCAGTTACTGGGATTTTCACACGCAACCATTTCTAGGGTTTACAAAGAATGGTGTGAAAAGGGAAAAACATCCAGTATGCGGCAGACTCCTGTGGGCGAAAATGTCTTGTTGATGGTAGAGGTCAGAGGAGAATGGGCCGACGGATTCAAGCTGATAGAAGAGCAACTTTGACGGAAATAACCACTCGTTACAACCGAACCTTGAGGCAGATGGGCTACAACAACAGAAGACCCCACTGGGTACCACTCATCTCCACTACAAATAGGAAAAAGAGGCTACAATTTGCAAGAGCTCACCAAAATTGGACAGTTGAAGACTGGAAAAATGTTGCCTGGTCTGATGAGTCTTGATTTCTGTTGAGACATTCAGATGGTAGAGTCAGAATTTGGCGTGAACAGAATGAGAACATGGATCCATCATGCCTTGTTACCACTGTGCAGGCTTGTGGTGGTGGTGTAATGGTGTGGGGGATGTTTTCTAGGCACACTTTAGGCCCCTTAGTGCCAATTGGGCATTGTTTAAATGCCATCACGGCCAACCTGAGCATTGTCTCTGACCATGTCCATCCCTTTATGGCAACCATATACCCATCCTCTGATGGCTACTTCCAACCGGATAATACTTTCAGCACCTTGTTGAATCAGTGCCACGTAGAATTAAGGCAGTATTGAAGGGGAAAGGGGGTCAAACACAGTATTAGTATGGTGTTCCTAATAATCCTTTAAGTGAGTGTACACTATAGCTCAAAGGTTTGATCTTATGTTTTTAAAGGAAGTCCCTTATCTCACCAAGGCATCTGATTCAATTTTTGACCAGAGCTGTAGTGTGTTGTGTGAGGTTTAAATCATTTACAGATGTAAAAAACCCCAACATATTTTCTTTTGTAGGGTTCCACACGCATGATTCATGTCTCAGTAGATCAGGGGGAGACGTGGGACATGGCTCAGCTTCCCACCGTTGGCCATGAACAGTTCTACTCCATTCTAGCCGCAAACAATGATATGGTCTTCATGCACGTAGATGAACCTGGAGGTGAAGCGAATTATTAGTATTATTCAGCAACATAAACCTCTTAATATGCAATATCAATTTAAGGATCATGTTACTTAGACTTGAAGTTTGGATTGTGTTATTTCAGTATTGTTTACATACTATTATAGTGTTTATTAATATTTTGAATTAGATTTCATTTTTTATATTTTCAACACTGATTTAGATTTTGAAGTAAAACCTTAAAATGATCAAATATTTAAAAAAGAGATTACCGATATTACATTCATTTTCTGTGCCGTGTGCATAATTTTATATATTCTAGTTATCAGCATTGCAAATCTAGTAAAGTTCTTATTTTCATGTAAAAATACATTTATAGCACTAAATGACGGAAAATAATGGTGTTTCTAAAACAATGGCTGAGGGAGTGACTCTCTCTCTATATATATATTTATTTATTTATTTATTTATTTATTTATTTTTTTTTTTTGCTCTTTTGGAAAGGCATGGAAATGCTATCACTGATTTTTTTTTTTTCCTATTCGAGCAAATGCAAATACTAAAATGATATTTAATTCACTACTATAAAAGTTTACCCATGACAACTTCTTCTGAGAACCCTTGAAATCTAAAAAGGGTCCATTTGAATGTGTGATTTTGTAACCATGATATCAGAACTACTTACAATTGTTTTTTTACTCCATCAGACTCAGGTGTTGGTACCATATATGTGTCTGATGACCGAGGTACAGTGTTTTCCAAGTCTCTGGAACGCCATTTGTATACCACTACAGGCGGAGACACTGACTTCACCAACATCACCTCTCTGAGGGGCGTCTATTTGACCAGTGTGCTCGCCGTGGGTAAGTCTGTGACTGCAATCATAAATCATTTATTTATATGAATCTCATATTTGCTGATGTGTGTTTTTCTTCTTTAGATGGCTCTGTACAGACAGTGATCACATTCAATCAAGGTGGAGGGTGGCGACCTCTGCAGAAGCCCTGGAACGGAGTGTGTGACTCCACAACCGAGCACCCAGACAAAGTGAGAGCCACACATAAACAGCACAGCCACAATCAGATCGTTATATTAGACATAAATCATGCAGAACATGTAGATTAAGCAATCATTATTATTTCCTTGAGCCACACAGTTACTCCAGGGACATTTGCATTGTAATATGTTCATCATGTCGCTGTTAAAGTCACCAAAAGAAGTCCTGGTCATGTGCCGATAAATACAGACTCGCGTATTGCATTTGTTTTGTGTAAACATTAAGGACAAAAGCACGTACTAGCAAATATTTGGTCTGTCTGACTATAAAAGGATAGATTAACAAGATAACACATGTCCAGCGTCATTATTATTGTTGTTAAGCTCAAGAGCTTAAACGGTGCATTTTTGAGCTGAAACACACTTTGAATTGTGAAATTGCAATAATTTAAGCTTGTTTAAAGTTCCCTCTTCTAATGATTTTAACTTAATACTCAAATCAGGCAAAACTTTGGTCCGAGAATAAGCACTCAAATTGCAGTGTGTGTGATTTCGTGTTAATATCATGTGCGTCTCTGTGTTCTGCAGTGTAGTCTGCATATTCACGCATCCTACAGCATCTCTATGAAACTGAACGTGCCCTTGCCACCCCTCTCGGAGCCCAATGCAGTGGGACTCATCCTGGCACACGGTGAATACTGCCCACATTCACCAACACATGTCTTTCCACAACGCAGAGCTATCACTGACTCACCTTCAGTCTAAACCTTTTGTATAACCATTTTCACCAGCCTCAGCTATGTGACTAATAAGAGTTTTAATTCATTTATTTTGTATGCATGCTTTGGCTACTGGCTTGTACAACAACAAAAAACACTGTGATTCTAGTATACCTAATCACCCAAACCCCATCATGTTTAATTTCTTCAATTACAGAACTAAAGTGAATAAGTAATAATTAATTATACATATATTTTATTTAGGGCTGTGCAAAAATGAATTGCGATTAATCGCATCCAAAATAAAAGTCTGTGTTTACATAATATATTTGTGTGTGCTGTATATAATTATTTTGTATATATAAATACCTGTGCATGCATGTATATATTTAAATTCTGTTTAAATATACAAATACATAATCTATATTATATAAATAATTTATATATGAATAACACATTTTCTGAAATATATACATGACTATGTGTGTATTTATATATACAAAATAATTATATACAGCACACAAATATATTATGTAAACACAGACTTTTATTTTGGATGCGATTAATCGCAACTAATTTTTGCACAGCCCTAATTTTATTATTATTTTACTGTTTTAACTCATATTGGGTAGTTTTGACTCACGTTTTGACTCACGTCTCCTTTCCATCTGTTCTTTCATCAGGGAGTGTGGGAGGCGCAGTTTCTGTGCTTTCTCCTGACGTGTACGTGTCGGATGACGGGGGTTACACATGGTTTCAGGCATTAAAAGGCCCCCATCACTACGCCATACTGGATTCAGGAGGACTCCTGATAGCGGTGGAGCACAACCCCTCACACCCCATATCACAGATCAAGTGAGCTTTCTATTATTACTGTATCTTAATAGTGATTTGATCTCAGTATGTGAGATTGAAAGGGAATGGTGAACACTGGTGATGCCCTGTTTAATTAAGTGATTTTGTTTTAATGTATTTGATTAAAATCTAATAAATGCAGCCTTGGTGAGCAGAAGAGACCTCATTCAAAAATATTTAAAAATCATACCAATCCCAAACTTTTGAATGGCTGTGTTTTATTATTTTTTTCAATTTTTTCACTAGATTTTCCACTGATGAAGGTCAGTGTTGGCATGTGTATAATTTCACCAGTGACCCAATATACTTCACTGGCCTGGCATCAGAACCCGGTGCCCGCTCCATGAACGTCAGCCTGTGGGGCTACAGAGAAACCGTCCGGAATCAGTACTGGGTTTCTGTCACTGTCGACTTCAGGCTGTTGCTCTCTAGAGACTGTGAGTTGCCTAATATTTCTAAAAAGCATTTTATAAACAACCATACAAATATACAGAATCCATGATGCATACTTATGTTAACATTCAGAAAATCTTAAAGGGATAGTTCACTTTGAAATTAATTTTTGGTATGTTTTAGCTTACCTCAAGGCCATCCAAGATGTAGGTGTCTTTGTTTCCGCAGTATTTTCAATTTTGATATTTTTAGGTCAAACCGTTCTTGTGTGTCAGTCATATAATGGAGGTCTATGGTCACCACCTCAAAGAGCATACACAGAGAAGTCTAAATTAAACATGATTTAATGATTCGTAAATGTAAATACACATTGATAGCCTAAGACATGAAACGAGCGGTTTGTGTGAGAAAACGAACAGTATTTATATAGTTTTTGGATGCCCTTGAGGTCAGCTAAAACATTCCAAAAATTAATTTCAAAGTGAACTATCCCTTTAAAATGTGTAAACATTGCCCTGAAATGACCAAATACTGATCCTGCAGGCCAGGATAATGACTACATTGAGTGGCTCGCTCACTCAAGCAATAATAGCAACCCCACTGACGGATGCATACTGGGATACAAGGAAAGGTTCTTACGGTTGAGAAAGGACTCAGTCTGTTGGAACGGCCGGGATTACATGGTGACCAAGGAGCCCACAACATGTTCCTGCACCCTAACTGACTTTCAGTGGTACAAACACATACAAACTCATCAAATACACTCAAAGTACAATGTGAGTCATTTATACTATTCATGACGTACATTCAGTCTGTGATTCCAATGCTTGTTGTTCTTTTCCTGCAGTGACTTTGGGTTCTACCATGCGGAAAACAGCTCTGTGTGTGTGGAGCAGCCTGACCTTATTGGCCATTCACTGGAGTTCTGCCTCCACGGGCGCAAAGAGCAGCTTCAGACCAGCGGGTAACAAATCACCAACAAATTAGAGTTGTATTGAAGTGTTTTTTTTTCTTTACATATATTGCTGTCCTAGCTAAGTTGCAAGCCTGATTGACTGAACTGATTCGCATATCAGTGAATGTTTTTGTCAAAGCAATGTAAGTAAGAACATATCCCAAAGTGTTGACTTTCTATGACTGTAGTTATCGGAAAATTCCCGGGGACCACTGTGAAGGAGGAATAATTCCAGAACGAAAAGAGATCGATCTGAGTAAGAAATGCGTCAGTAACTTGCTGAGGTCAGAGCTACCGGTAGGTTTTTATTTTATTAACAGAATGCACATTATACCTACATATACAGTGCTGAATATGTATGTTCGTACATTACGAACAATTTCCAAAAGAGGATTTTTGTATTCCTCTTTTTAGTCAACTTTAGCATGGGTGTGTTCTATTATGCTAAGCTAAGCACTGTACATGTAGTTTGAAAGAAGTCTCTAATTAGTTTGCATTTGTTTGATCTGAATAGAGTAAAAACATATTTGTGCATTGTTTCTTTATTTTAATGTTATTATTATTATGTAATTTATTTAGGGCTGTGCAAAGATTAATTGCGATTAATTGCATCCAAAATAAAAGCTTGTGCTGTGTATAATTATTTTGTATATATAAATACACACACATGCATGTATATATTTAAGAAAATGTGTTATTCATATATAAAATATTTATATTTATATATAATATAGATTCTGTTTATATATATATATATATATACAGTATTTACGTTATAATACAGTATTATTCTTTGCACAGCCCTAAATTTATTCCTGTAATATTTCAGTGTCGCATAATATGCTGATTTGCTGCTCAAGAAACGTTTAACACAAAAAGCAGAAAAAAATTTTCCCACTATGCATTTCTCAGACAGGGGAACATTCATTCAATTCAGCTCCTATAATCGCTGTGGTCATCGCTGTTCTGTTGATCAGTGCCGTTGCTGGGGTTATTTTCATCAAAAAATATGTCTGTGGAGGAAGGTTTGTGCCCCCATTTCCCTAAACATCACACACAGCAGAACATTAACTGTTTTTTACATTTTAAATTCTTCATTTTAAGTTAATTAATTCAAATTCATTAACTGCCGTTTTGTGTTGCAATTATTAAATGAATGTTGTATCGTGCGGTACATATGAGCAAAGTCTTCATTTATTTTTTTCTAATGCAGAATTTAATATTTTGTTCATATATGCAGTATCTGTGTCACAGCCCCTTTTTGATGTCTTCGGTAGGTTTCTGGTGCACAGGTATTCTGTATTACAGCAGCACGCTGAAGCTAACGGTATCGATGGTGTGGATGACCTGGACACACTGGAGGTTGGCAAGACGCACTATCATGATGATTCAGATGAGGTACATACTTCACCTTGCTGCTAAAGACACAATATTTCATTTCAACAAAGTCATTGAATTAATCCTGTCATTCTATTTTTGACATCTGCAGGACCTTCTAGAGTGACGGACACATGGATAATCATAAAACTTTATCAAATTAAGTCAAGAGAAAAACCACAATGCCTACCCTTCCCATGACCCTCCATATGTGTGTATCTGCATTCCAGCATCGGATAATGACACACATTCTGCCTAATCAATTTGTTTTTGGCTTGTTGGGGAAAAATATTCAGCGTTCAGACCAGCAAGACTTGACTACAAGGACAGGAAGAGAGAAAACATGCATTTTCCCAAAAGCTTCTCCCAATCTTTCTGATCCATTGCTGAAAGAGAGAGGATTCGATGCGATTTTGTTGCCATATATTTCAAATTTATGCAAGTTGACACACATACAACAGACTTATGTACAGTAAGTGCTTATTTTTCATTGCTGGTTTCCTGCATCAGGTATTTAACTTCACCAAAGGATTTTCAGCTTTTTTTCTTTATTTTGTGTATTTGAAGTCTCCTTGAAGAAGTCTGTTTTTTTTTCTTTTTAAATTTAGTGTAAAAATAGAAGTATCTTCGGAAAATAGCCTGCTCATTAATTCCAGAGTTATTATGTGAGCAAATTCAGATGACAGATATATTTAGATGAACATCGAGACTTGTTTTTTAGACTTCATTATACTAACAACCTGGAGATTACAGTTTGGATCTTTGAGAAACTAGTTTAGCCAAACTTAAATCAAATCTCACTTTGGCATATGTGATTCCCTGAAATTGCTATGTGCTTAGATCTACTTTGCATATCTTCTATGCACGAATAATTATAAATTCTTTCGTTTTGGTATTACCAATGCTATTCTCTGTTTGGTACAGTGTCATCTGATGCAAGGAAATATTTAAGAAACAGCACATTGCGTGGTTTTCAATCATCTTAATATATACATACTTAATACAAGTGTCATAGAGAAACAATAAGTGCATTAAACTTAATAGTCTGATTACTTGCTGCTAATTCAGCAATAGTTATATATTCAATAACCAGACAAAATCTATGACATAAAAAAACAGCAACTCATCCTTCATTGGGAGGTCGACAATATTAACTGCATCTAATTAGCAGCCTAATCAAATATGAAAATGTATATTTTTGGACTTTATTGACTGTCAACTCATAAATAAGCTAATTTGTAGTCTGTAAGCTGATTAAGTTTTTTTGTTTTTTTTTGTTGCACAGATAATAAAAATAGATACCTCAGGGGTTATAGATAACAGTGGACCACGCATTTCGTTGATGGGTTTGCATGTCCTCAAGTTTGAGATGAAAATGGCTTTTCTTAAGTCAAAGTGTAAAATGCTGTACCATTAAATGTGACTGCCAAGAACAATAAAAATACATCTTTTTTGAAGTCCACTCTTATTGACTTGAACCAAATGGGTTAATTGACCCTGATGCACCAAGGTGAACTGACTTCACAAAGACTTTTGTTTTGTGTTCACAAAATGTTTTGTGTCTCTTTTATTAAAACAGCTTTTTTTTTTTTTCTTGTACAAGGGTACATAAACATCCTTAAAGTTGGATATTGTACAGCCTGTGACTAATGTTTTCTACTTTGCATTGTACTGAGAAACATATAGTCAATAAACAGCAGTTGGCTAATGTCATTCAGGACAGCATTTGTATTTTCAATTGTGTAAATAGAACGAAAGCTGCATATATTTCATGTGCAGAATAAAATCTGAATGTAAACAGATGTGCACATTTTCCTTTTCTTCCAAGTTTAAGAACTAAGAACATCACATGAAAAAATGTTAACATTAACAAAGAACACTACAATTCTGTGATATTTTAAGTATTTATTAAAACAACCTAAAAATTAGCATTAGCAAACGCAAGTTTGCTACATTGTAAATAGTTAGGTTAATAATAGCTCAATTTTATTATGTCAGAGGAAAAGCTAAATTAAATCATGTATGAAAAAAATATCTTGAATTAAAGTTGATAGTGGATCTTTTAATCAATTTAGAAATGTATTCAAATGATAATCTAATAAAATAAATATCAAAAATAGTCGCGAATTCACTTATTTATAATATAAGTATTCATTCATTTATTTAATTATTTATTAACTTTTGTTTTGTGTTTATTTTTACATACTATCAGTATTCTTACATGTATATTTATTTTATGTATTCATTTCTAAATGACAGTTCTTTCGCACAGCTCTTCATCTGTCAGAGACATATGGGTTTGTGAGGGGCGTGGTCTTCGTCTTGTAGGAGGGGCGTTTGAGCTTCATGCGCCATTTTGGCTCCTGAGCGAGACGCGTCTGGACGCGTCGTGTGATTGGGCTCCAGGCGCCGCTATCGGAGCCAATCAGAGGTGCATCGGGCGGCGGCGAGGACGGTGAGTGAGCGCGGCTGCTGGGAGGGGACGGGACTCGGTCGGTTAGCTGGGGATTGGTGTGTGACGGACCAACCAAATGACTAAAATCATTATAAACAGGAATAGTGTGGATTGTGTATGTCAAGGTCCACTCAGTGGACGGCATGCACGTGAATGCCTCTAATTATGTGGTTAAAACGATAAACAATTTCGAGATAAGGTTTAATGTTGTTGTTTTTCCGTTAAGTAGCGCTGGCGTCTCAAATAGGCCCAGTTTTAGGCCAGTCTTTGTTGTATATTTTTCTGACTTTCGCGGGGTCTAAAATGTCGATTGGAGACAGTATGTTGATGAATTGGTTTTAATCAACCAAAAGAGGGTTATAAGTATTAGTAGTTGTTTGTATTAAATCATTGGTTTGCACAAAACAAACAAGCTAGTGCACAAGAACACGGAGATCGATGTGCTAACGCAGCGCCAGCAAGCAACGTTAGAGAAAGATTGAGTATTTTTATTAACACCATATAATATAAGTTACACAGTGCAATTGAGTAAATTTATTTAAAATGAGCGGTTTAAAGGATAAACAGTTTCGTTTGTGAGAAACATGCACGTTGCAACACAACATAAGCGAGCCGTCAGTGACGATACAAAGACCTGAAGGGTGAAACTGAAGAATAATAGCAGATACATTTAATGGTAATAGAAACTAACACCGAAACCCAAACTGTGTTTTTCTTTGTACTTTTAATAATATAAAATTATTTTCTCGTCGTATTTTATTTATATACTGTAGTAAATCTACAAGCAAGGTCAACAACGATATTGTTGTGATGTCATTCAGCAAACCTTTTATGTGTCAATCATGTAGGCTAAATAGGAAGATATTTGCATATATTTAATGTGCAGAGTAAAATCTGTCTTTTGCTTCTCAATTTAAAAATGGAAAAATATGACAAATGTTTTTCATTTACAGAAAACAGTGTTCCTTACAGTTTTTTAAGCATCTATATACTTCAAGACACGAAACAATACAAAATGATATTGAGAGATAAATATCACACTAATAATCACAACAACAAAGATTCTTACAGAAAATTATAATTTCTAGGTTTTCTTATTTATTTTTATGAATGTTTCATATTTCTCAGAGAGAGGGAGTTAGAATATCCATAAAATGATTTTATCATAAAAATATGAAAAAAAAATTGGTAACACTTTACAATTAGGTTCATTAGATAACATTAGTTAATGTATTAACTAACATGAACTAACAGCTGTTCATGTTTGTTCACAGTGCATTAACTAATGTTAACAAATACAACCTTTGATTTTAACGTATTAGTAAATATTGAAATTAATATTAACTAAGATTAATAAATGCTTTGGAAGTATTGTTCATTGTTACTTCATGTTAACTAAGGTAGTTAACCAATGAACCTTATTGTAAACTACCATTTATATAAAACATTTTTCTTTGTTAATCTGCAGTTAAATAAGCCCACTAAACTATAAACACGTAAAGGTAACAATACAGGGAATTCATTTAATACACAGTATTACCAGAAATTACAAAAATACTTCTTTAAATTTCCAATTGTTTTAGGGGAGAAAACCTGCATATAAATGTAGGATCTGCTCACTAATATCATAAACAGAGATAATAATTTAAAGAGCTGACTAAACTCAAAATGATGTATGTTTTAAACCAGCAATGCGTTATCTTTTAAGCTTCTTTCATTAGATACATGTCCAGTTGCATAAGAGATCAGATTAATGCAACAGCAACATGTCGTTGCTTTTTTTTTTTCAGACTTAAGTTCTATTTTGATCTCATCTCTCATAACCCGCAGAAGTCAGACGGCAAACATGGAGCAGTACACAACCACCACGACAACTAGTGGAGAGCAGATAGTAGTGCAGACCAACAGTGGACAGATCCAACAACAGGTAATGTGTGAAACTTACAGACAGTATCTGAAAATGATGTACTCTATGGAAGTCTGTCCTTCGAAAAGCATCAAAAAGACTAGTATATGTAGCAATAAAGCATCTCAGTGTGGTATAAAACCATAGAAGAAAAAGTTTTTGTGTGTGTTTTTACTATTCTGCGAGTCACATTAGTCAGTATGTAGTATGGTGACAGTCCCTTATCTCTGGCCCAGGGCACAGTGACTGCGGTGCAGTTGCAGACTGAGCCTCAGGTAGGCCAGACTGCAACCCAGCAGGTTCTTCAGGTAGTGGTTGGCTTTCTGAGCCCCTCTGCTGTCTCCAAATCCCCATGCATGCCATTTCAACTCGCATTGCCACTGATCTGAGTCTGAGATCAGTTGACTAGTATTGCATTGTAATGATGATGAATGCAATGTTAAGATATTAGTTTCAGTTGAAGTTTATCACTCACTATGATTTACAAGAACTTCAGTGTCCAAAGAACACCCACATGCATGAGTTTTTAGCATGCTTTGTTTTGCAAACTGCATTATAAAATGTACATGCACTGCATTTTCTTGCATGCATCAGTTTTTTGCATTGCCTCAATGTATATCATAATGCAACCGCTTTTACAAACTGAAATATTTCATATTCGTATATGCTTGTAATGTATAGAAACCCATTAGTGCCACATAAGAAAAAAAAACATGCTCTGGTAAGTCATAATTATGACATAAAAAGTCGTAATTATGATCAACACATTTATGAGATGAGTAGTCAAAATTAGAGTTTAAAAACTAAAAATTATGACATACTAAGTAAAGTCATAATTATGAGATTAAAAAGTTGCAATTATGACGTCAAAAGTTGAAATTGACTTAAAAACGTAAAAATTTGTACAAAAGACAAGTCATCATTAATTTATGAGATAAAGTAAATTATGACTTGAAAAGTGGGAATTATAACACTAAATCTAAATAATAAAAATAAATAAATTGTGATTTCAAAAGTTGAAATTATAAGATTAAAAATATTCTGATGTATTTTTTTTAATTGTGACTTTATCTCATAATTATGACTTTTTAAGTCATAATTTTTACTCTTTTTTTTTCTTATGTGTCAGAAATGTGAATCCAGTGACATAATAATCTTAAAGTTGACAACAAATGATTTATTTATTTTGCATGCATCCTCTTCTAAGGTCCAAGGGCAGCCTCTTATGGTACAAGTCAGTGGGGGTCAGCTCATCACTTCCTCTGGGCAGCCCATAATGGTACAGGCCATGACAGGAGGACAAGGTCAAACCATCATGCAAGTACCAGTATCTGGTACACAGGGGCTGCAGCAGGTGGGTGGAGCTCATTTTACATGCAGTTGCTGGTTAAAAATGTACAGTATCATTTTCACAAACTTATTCAATTTCTCTAGTTATTTTAATACTTAAGTAATGTTATATAGCAGTGGTTCTTAACCAGTTAAATTGATTTAAAATAAGACAAAACAACGGAAAATTTGAATTCAACTTTTGTCTTTAAAGAACCCGAATTCCCACAGTCTTGGAAAACCTGGATAAATGAGGAACCCTTGTTTAAACAGTATGATTTCTAGACTTGGAAATACATGTAAATGAATACAATTTAATAACTCTATGGGGATTTTTTATATTTATAATTAATATACATTTATGAAATGCTCTAAAATATATACTTGTGAGTAAAGAATTTAAAAAAATCTTATCCAGTAAATTAGCAGCAACTGGAAAAGTCATGCAGTCTAAGTCAAAAAGGTTGAGAGCCACAGCAGTATAGTGTTCCTTCAAGATATTGGGGATGCACATGTAATGAAATGACTAAATTTGCCACAGATTCAGTTGGTACAACCCAGTCAGATCCAGCTTCCTGGTGGACAGACTTTACAGCTACAGGGTCAGCAGGGACAGACCCAACAAATCATCATTCAACAGCCACAAACTGCAGTCACTGCAGGACAGAACCAGGTATCCTACGATATATTCCAGGTTTGCTAACTTCATTTTGACACATATTTCAACAAACATAAAGGAGCACCTGCTAGAAGAATCTCTTGCAGTAAAATACGCAAGTTCATGGTAAATAAACAACCATCCTTTGTATGTTCTCAGGGTCAGCAGCAGATCACTGTACAAGGTCAACAGGTGGCTCAAACTGCTGAAGGACAGACCATCGTTTACCAGCCTGTTAATGCGGATGGGACCATCCTGCAGCAGGGTAAAACTGCTACTCCACTGCAAAACACTAGAAGTTAGGTTAAGCTAGTCATACTTTCTATAGACACTTCATACGATTTGTTTTTATTTTTCCATCCAGGAATGATCACCATTCCAGCTTCATCTTTAGCAGGAGCTCAATTGGTCTCAGCTGGATCCAACACAAACACCAATAACAACAGCCAGGGCACAGTGACGGTCACTCTTCCCATGGCGGGAAACATGGTCAATGCTGGAGGAATGGTCATGGTGAGTGTTTCTGGTCACTTTTATTTAGAACCGAAAGGGCCATATTTCTTAACATTTGTGTGTGTGTGTGTGTGTGTTTATAATTGAATCAGATGGTCCCAGGGGGTGGGGGGTCGGTTCCCACCATGCAGCGCATTCCTCTTCCCGGAGCTGAGATGCTGGAGGAGGAACCTCTGTACGTCAACGCTAAACAGTATCACCGGATTCTCAAAAGGAGACAAGCCCGTGCCAAACTAGAGGCTGAGGGCAAAATACCCAAAGAGAGAAGAGTATGTATAATGTTACTGTAATAACTAACTGACTCTGACTCATTATACATATTTAATTTAATTTCCATTGTGAAATGTGATTGACGGCATGTATGCAAATAATCCCACCTCTTCAATACGTTTTCCCTTCCAGAAATACCTGCATGAGTCCCGTCATCGTCACGCCATGGCCAGGAAGCGTGGAGACGGTGGACGCTTCTTTTCTCCAAAGGAAAAAGAAGAAATGGCCATGCAGGCTCTTAAGGTGAGCGAGGGGCTTGAGCTCAGCTCTCATTGGCCAGCCACCTCTGCCCCGCCTCTGGGGTGATCTATCCAATCCCAGCCCGTGCCCCACATGAAAGACTGAACTCGCTGTATACACCTAATTTAACTTAGATCATCCATGCGCTGCGGCTCTGTGCCTGAGCTACCTCATGCGTCTGTGACATATTCATGTCCGAACTGTCTCTGTCTGTGAGTTTATTGGCATTTCCGACTAGTTCAACTGAACATGCATACTAAGATCTTAGTATATATGTTCTAGTATATTGTTTGAGCAAATACAATGTACAGCTTATTCCCATGTTTGTAACTGCTGTGCTTCCTTGCAGCTTTTTAATTCGCGTTATTTAGCTGCACATGTTAGTATGCAGCCTAAAGATATTATGTTTGAGCTCTGCTAATTGGAAACGGCTTCTTTTAAAAAGCTTCAGCTGGAAACATGGGTGATTAGCACATTTCACAAAGGTTTCTTGTCTTAAATGTCTAACTGCTACTTTGAAGGGAAATCTTCAGCCTTGACATCTTTGTGTCTGCATTTCTGCCGTTTGTCCTTCCATGCTGTAAAAACTCCCTGGATGCTAAGATGTATCAAGCTGTGTTTATTTGTCCTTTTTACCATCTTACTGGTATAAAATTGTCATTCAAAATGATCTGTTTTCATTTGTGATGTATGGCTTGGCTTGCACCTTTCAATGCTCTTCTGTCTTCGCTTTGTTATTGCTTTTGCCATTTTATGTTTCTTACAGCGGGCTGTATGTGGGCTCTTGTTTGCAATTACATTAGTTATGTTTGATACTTGATGATATATGCCCTTTTTATGCAAATAAACTATTGTTCTTGATTTATACTTTGCTAGTAATATCTTGCTGTTTTTTTACATGCTGATAAAGAGTTTCCCCCATGTCAAATATTCAATTTCTATTGTGCAAAACAAATTCTTCAATATAAAATGTAATATATTTGTAGGCTCATTAGTTGAGTAAATCTCATGTATTTTAGAGTTGAGTCGATCACTAATATTTTGTATATTAGACAATTTGATCACTAGCAGAAAATGCTCATGGTTTAAACAGGTAAGAGTTCACTCAACACCAGTCATCCCCTAATAGCACATCATATTGATGAAATTTTCATCATTTTTATTTATCTTCCTTTCTCCTCACAGAACTCTGAGCAGGATCAAGCTGAAGAGGACACGGTGGTCCAGATGATTCAAGTGGCATAAACTATCCTTTCCTCCACGGTTTAGTCAGTCCTTTATACTCGACATAAAATGAGACCCTCTTCATTCCAACACATGGTTTTTTACTTCCCTGAAGCCCTGTTTATAATATGCTTCATTTCTGTTCTCATATAGACTGAGCAATTGTTTTAGTTATCCAATACTGCCAGGTAGAACATGGAGATATTGGGAATTTTCTCATCTTAAAGGCTAAACGATGTACAATATGTGCTGTTCATGAAGAAAGACTTAGGGTCAAATGTATTCATGATTTGTATAGGCATTTCATTCCACTCAATTTCTTTATTTAATCAAGAAAAAAGAATCACAAAAATGTGAATTGCAGTTTGGTTTTGTTCAATGGGATGTGCCACTGGTTGCTTTTAAGTATACTGGATCAGACTGTGAAATGTTACGATTTTCTATGCACTTGCGCTTTTTAGTTGATCCGCCAACCGTTTGTACATCCACCTGCACTGAAACATCTCCCTTGAAAGCTTTCAGTTATCTATTTGTATTTTCTACTTATGTCTTCCTTGTTTGAAAAAAAAGGTTGACATTCTGTACATGGTTGCAAAAACTGATTTTTAAACTTCTAGACATCTAATGAAACAATGACATGTCGGACAATTTTTAGCATCTACACATTCTCTTGGTATGTGTCAAGCCATGTTTGTTTTCCTTTTCCAAGTAACAGACACACCCGTTTGATTGCCGTTATTTATAGATCCATGATGCTCTACTGGAGTCATCTTATTGGAGTTAAAGGGTTCACTCTGCTTTATTCTTTTAAGTTCCTCAGAAGAAAAGATGAGTACATTTACATTTTTCGGGTGAACTATTTCTTTAAGACCTTGAGACAATTTTGAACATGTTTTAAAATGTCATATTGAACTGAGGAGCATTTTAAAATGGGAAGTGCATGGATCTGATCGCTAGAATGGGGCTAATCAGATTAAAATGACTATGGCAGATTGTTTACTCTTAAAGCTGAGTGCGTTATATAACTGAATCAGCCCTTACTGTTATTTTGGAGGCCTGATATTAGCATATGAATAGTGAGCCATTGAGAACAATTGGTTATATTTTCAAGTGAAAGGGCTTTTGCCTTGAGAATACTTCAAAGAACACACAATATGTCCTCAATGCAATGCAAAACAGGTCATCAGAATATACAATAGATGTTAACAGCTGTATGTTTTAACCATAATCATAAACCAAAATGCAGGATTTCTCAACCCTCACCAGCTGCAAACATGTTTTATGGCACCTTTGGTAGGAAATTAAGAAATTACTTAATAAAACGAAAACATTGATGAAGTCTGTATAAAACACACAGGGTTAGTTAATCAGAAAATGAATATTCTGTCATCATTTACTCACTTTCATGTCGTTCCCTACCAGTGTGACTTTCTTTCTTTCATGGAACACACAGTATAAGGTAATAAATAAAGCTCTACAGAAAGACAATGTGGGGTTTGAACAACATGACTCAATAAATGAGAGAATTTTCATTATTGGGTGATCTGTCCCTTTTTAAAAAAAATAATACATAAGCAACCCTTATGCATTTCCAAATTTCTTTTTCTTGTCAGTCTTTGGCAGCGAGGAATTCATCCTGCTTAGCATTTGGGCATGGTCCCCCTTGACATGCACCAGGAGCCAGATGGCCACACATCTGGCCAAAAGTTCGATGTGAATTCCCATTTGAATTGATTCAACCGATTCCAGTCAATGTTTCTCAATCCTGTGACAGAACAACATTAATCCCTCTGCAGCACTTGGCTACGCTTTGGAAGAAGGGTAGGATGATTATGTCTAAAATGCTGCTCCATAAAGTTTGCAACCACCCGGTGTTTATCAAGACAACCTGCACACATGGCGTAAAGAACCTGAAACAGAGTAAAAAGTAAAAAGTTTAGGATTTCTATCTCTTAATTAAAATAAATAAGTAGCCTAATAAAAATATATTCTTACACCTGGGAAAAAAAAATCAGTTCTTTATAAAATTTGTGTTGGGATGTTTCTTATCTATTCTAAAAGCAATGATGCTGGATATTTTAGCATCCAATTGCAATCATAATGTTTAAATGAAAATAAAAATGTAATCTGCTCCTATACCAGATGTGAACGAAGCTGAGGACGGCCAAAAGAATCCCAGCAATGAGAGACACTGGAACAGCCAGCAGAGCCGTGATGATACGGTAAAACCAGACCCTGGACACTTCGAAAATAGCATGACTCCAGATCCACACCCGATCCCCACTGCGGACCGACACCGGCTCTGCTATCACATCCTCAAAACTAACCTGTCGGAAGAGAAAATTCAGTAAAGTAGCATCTTTTGTTCGCCCTCATCTAACGTTACCTGAAAATGTCGCTTTAATGATAGTCGTGTCACCTGACCGCCATCTTGGAAAATGCACCTGTTTTTATTCTTTTATCAACATATATTAATTCACCAATGAACCTGCCAACAGTAGTCATACATCCTGATTTAGATTTGATTTAACATTTTAGAGATGAATCTACATTTAAATATATGAATAGCCTACAATTAGCTTCTACGTTACATGAACGGAAAGATAAGATGGCTAAGCTAACACTGGTATGCTAATCTTTCACGAAAATACATCACCAATGAATCTGACAACAGTACCAAAAATCATGATTTTGCATTTTAGACATAATTCTACATTTAAATATGAATTCAGATTCTGCATGAATTCAAGGCTCGATAAGTTACCCTGCTGAAAAATATATACATTTTCATTTTTAGCTCATATTAGGCTAATAGTTCATGTATGTGATGTAAAACGGCTAATTGGCTGTTTTAAATGAAGCGTGACTTTATTACTACGGCTCTGAGACGAGGGTAGCCTAGGCTATATTTATTTCTGTCTTCTCCTATTTCTGTTTGTGGTACTACACAGTATATTTGGTATGTATTTCAACCTCTTTAAGCATTTTAAATTGAATACTGCAATCTGCAATTGGTATTAGCAATGGTTCATAACATAAACAATACAGTAGCTCTAAAGCTAAAAGTAGCTGTGTAATTTGTCTGGTCAGCTCATTCAAGAAGCGGTTGCTATTATTGTCTACATCATTGAAGATTCACACATGTTCTTCTAATCCATCTCCTGCTACCAGCTGTGGTTGTCTACAATGTCAAGACAATGTTCTTTCCTTTGGATCCAGAGTAGATTCCATAAATTCAATCTAATTTAACCAAATCTAAATGTCATTAAATACAAAAGTTTTAAGATTGTTCGAACTCTGTATTTCTCTTAAGAAAAAGTCTTAAATCAAGATTTACTTTTGAGTCATGTTTCCTGAAAAGAAGCATCTTGTTATCTTGTCTTTTTTTGTTGAAAATTCACCAATATTAAGCAAGAAAAAATATCAATGGGGTTAAAAAATCCCCTTTAAATTAATGTATTTTTTAGTTTTAAGCATAATTATTTTCCAAAGAACAAGACTTAATATCCCGTCATTTTCTGAAAAAATAAAATTAAAAGATGATGCCTAAAAGAAGAAAATATTGTTTTCCCTTTGAAATAAGTTTATTTATTTCCCTTTGACATATCTTTTCTTGTTTTAAAAAAATTACTCAATTTCTTTTATTAAGTCTTGTTTATCAATATGGTTATGAATAAGAATTTCGTTTATTTTTTGGTTTTTATTTTCAGTCTTTGAATCATGTTGCTTCTCAAGTAAATGTATCTCGATTTAAGAATGTTTAGATGTTTGTACTGGAAAACAAGACAATTTGATGGCTTTGGGGATTGTGAGACTAAAGTAGTATAAATAGTGGTTTGTCATGATGTAGCCAAGCACTCTTATGTTTTTGAAGGAATAAAGACATATTGTAGTCGGACATGAAGTGATTACCTTAAGACACTCGTTTATCTGTCTTGGGTCCCGTTCATTGATCAGAGGCCTGGTGTCACTCTGTGTAGAGATCACATCTTCTTCTTCCTCTTCCTCCAGGACAGTTTCCAGCTGCGTCTTCCACGTCTGTTGTCCCTCGTCGTCCTCTCCATCCCCAGCATCCCTCAGGTCGATTTCAGTTTCCCTTGCGTCCGTACTCTGCATCATGGTGCCCGTCATCAATATGAAGGTGGTAAGGTCATAAAGAGGGGCATCAAAACCCGCATAAACAGTTTCACACACTCTCACACATATACACTGTGAATGGAGAGCCGAAGTGCTGTCTTGAAGCTGAAACAGGGATATGGGATATATTAGGAAAGTGACCGTGCCCTAGCAGGCATTCCCAAACAGGCCCCAATGGGAAGATGCCAGCCCCCACTGATACATCTGCTATAAATACCCCATTAGTGACTGGTCAAATGCAGGCCACTGGTTATAAGAACCTGCGGGTCAAGAACGGGATGACATTTATGAACGAAAGCATTGATTTTCAGCACTGATTGGGATTTAGTTAGATCAGTGTGGAGTATTGTGCTTGTAAATTTGGTCCAATGATTATAATATCAAACACTTTGGACATTATTAGGATATTATTTTGAGGCCATCCTTATACTACAAGTTTGCAAAGTAAACTTGGTAAGCAAATATGTATCTGAAAAGGCTTCCTCTTCAAGAAAAGTATAGCCAAAATAATTAATATTAATAATGTTATTTTAAAATTTAAAACTCATAATTTAGAAGTTAGTATTTTGGAAAGGACCAGGGTTACTACATTTTTGTCACTTGAAATTAATATTTTTTTTAGCTGAAATATTACAAATTTATTTTATTTCGGCTACCAAGGCAACGTTTCTCGTTTTCATTTAGTTTAAATTGATGTACTAAAATAACTTAAATACTTTTTTTAAATGAAAAAATAACATAATTACAAAAATTTTACCTAAAATTCAAATGAAATGGAAACGGTTTTAAAATGAAAACTAATTTAAAGTATCACAAAATAACACTGGACAAAACTAGCAATATCCAATAGCAAAACTGCTTTTTGCCATTAAATGTTCACACACACACACACACACACATCTGGTTTACTATCTTTGTGAGGACTCTCCGTAGACGTAATGGTTTTTATACTGTACAAACTGTATTCTATCCCCTTACACTAACCCGACTCCTAAACACAGGAAACATTATGCATTTTTACGTTAGAAAATATTAATTCTATATGATTTATAAGCGTGTTTACCCACGGTGACCTCACTTTAGGTCCCCACAGTGACATGAGTCCCCATGAGTCTGTGTGTATGCAGGTAATGTCCCCACCAGGATAGAAAAACATGTAACTGTTACACACATACACACACACGCTCAATAGCGACCCCCCTCTGTTTGCTTTTGGGAAAGTCTTGCAGATTTGATTTCACAATATGCTTTTAGGAAAATGCGTTTTTTTTTCACCGCTAAAGCCATTAGCAGATCATTGGTTTCTATTTATAACCCAACAGCTGATCTTGTAGCAAATACTAAATGCATAACAATAAATTCTGAAAATGTTCACTCTCTCACGCTAATTCATACTGTTTACATGTTCTTGAGCAACCAAGCCGCTATGATAGGGTGTTGTCGTGAGTGGTGGCCAGGATGTTGCTATGTGGTTGCTAGGGTGTTTTGGTTGGTAGGTGACTGCTTAAGGTTCGGTGTTCAAAGGTTCATTCTTCAGTGATATTTTTCACCTGTTTCATCATCTGTACTATAATGGTCAGATGTCCTCGTGGTGTTTCATAATGGAAAGCTCTCATGTTAATCACCTTCATTGTTTAATCTCATGTTCCGTTTGTAACATTTTGTCCAGTTCACCTTTGCTCAGTTTGGATTGTGCGGTTGGATCATCGCTTTTTAAAACCATTATTTTGGCAGCCGCCCTGTTTTAGTTTGCTTTATCCGTTAAGTCTAATCTGCATTCAAATCTCCCATTAGAATTAAAAACATGTCCCAAAAATGATGGAGCTATAATTACATGAAACATGCTTCCAGATGATATGCTAAGAGCTGAACTGATCTAAACTATACAGAAACCATCTGTTTAAATAGTTGCCGCACGAATATTGTGAAAATGGCAGATTTAATATGTTCTATAACCCTTTGCGTTTTTGGCATCAGTCACAGGATTTTCAAACACAGAGAATGAGTAAAAATATACAAATGTTTTTTTTTTTTTTTTATGATTGTAAAAGAAGTCTCTTCTGCTCACTGGGCTGCATTTATTTGATTAAAAAATAGAATAAAAAGTAAAACTGTAATATTGTGATGTATTTTACAGTTTAAATTAGCTGTTTTCCATGATAATATAGCTATTTTAAACTGTAATTTAAAAGCATCACTTCGGCATCATTACTCCAGTCTTCAGTGTCACATGATCCTTCAGAAATCATTCTAATATGATGATTTGCTGCTCAAGAAACATTTCTTATTATTATCAATGTTAAAAACAGTTGTGCTGCTTAATATCTTTGTGGAAACCGATAGCCTGATAACTGATAGAAGTTCAAAAGAACAGCATTTATTGTAAATAGATGTTTTTACTGATGGCATTCTGATCAATTTAATGCATCTTTGCAGAAAAAGTAGTTTCTTTACAACAAAATCTTACTGACCCCAACCTTTTAAATGACAAATAAGTTACTGATAATTATGTGGCTTATACTTCAGGCCGTTGTTGACTCTGTGGAGTAAACTATTAGCATGAAGATGTACATCTGAATAAACAATGGGAAGAAACCAGCTCTATACAGTACCATCCTCCCATAAAAAACATGGATACAGCTCTTATCCATCTCCATGATAACAAAAGACAGTAATGTCACATTGATTTGTATAAATAAAGAAAGTGCTAATAAATACACTGCATGATGTAATGGGTGGCTCCACTTAGCACACCATTCAAAATAAGGATAAAAGACGGTCCACATAAATCAGCATAGTGAGCTGTAAATGAAACACAACTCAACATATGCTGCATTCAACTGAATCAGCATCTGTCAAGCTTTCTGTGACTATAGTGTCTTTATTATACAACCAAACTATCTGTCTTTCTTACTTCATTCCATGCAGATGAAGTGAGATATCTACAATGGAAAAGAAATACAGCAGATAGCCAAGTGCATTATAAATAATAGAAATAAATATGTATACATTGATTCAAAACACTTTTTTAAGTTCTTTTTGTCATTTATGTTACTCAAGTTTTTAAAGAAAGTAAATACTGCAGTAGAAAAGGTGTGCTCTGTAATGCTCAAAAAACTGAAGTTTTTAGAAAATGTTGAATATGTTAATACACCTTAGTCAGGAGGACTGATGCCATATTTTAAATAAATATTAAATATATCGGTATCTTTCCAAATTAAAACAAGGCTGAGAGGTCATTTTTACAACAAATATTGTAGGCCTATATGTGAATTAAATATGACATCTACCCTGACTATGTGTAATTTAAAGGTTGGTTATGCTTTTAGTTTAAGGAACAAATAAGTAATTTCAGTTCATAATGTCATTCAAAACCCTAATCAGCCCTGTGTTTGTAAACATGTAGGCGGAGTCACCACTAGGAAGAATTGTGATTGGATCAGACTCATTGGCTCTCAATGGCTGTGGATTGGATTAAAGGCATTTGTTGTTCATTGTGTCGCAATTCCTCTTTCCATCCCAGATATTTAGGATCTCTTAAAGGCCCCCTGAAATCAAAATTATTATTTTTTAGCTTTTAGTATGAATATGTTAGCCTTAAAGGTTATAAATAAGCTGGCGTGTTCCAAAACAATGACAAAATTCGCATTCGAAACTTAATTAGTTCACTTTTGCTGATAATTTACTCACTCTAAACGACACCAGACGACGAATAAGGGTCTTATCTAGCGAAACAAAAGATCATTTGAAAAATAAATAACAAAGTTTAAGTTTAATAAGCACAAATGCTTGGCTTGCTCTGTTCGTGACTCTCCTGTTCGAACTCGTTCATCAAAATGAACGAATCATTTTTCGAGTCATTTGGTTCATTCAACGAACAAATTGAACGAAATGACTCAGAAAAAGATTTATTCATTTTGATGAGCGAGTTCGAACTGTATGTTGTCACGAACGCATCACAGAACAGAGCAAGGCGAGCATTTGTGCTTATAAAACTTAAACTTTTTAATTTATTTTTTCAAATGACTATAGCTATAAGTCCCTCACTTCCGCTAAAATGGATCACAGATTCTTATGTTTCGCGGATTCAGCTTCTCATCACGTCTTCTGTCCAATCAAATGCTCTCTAAAATCTAAAGTGTGCCGTAAAGCGACCATTGAGAAAATATGGGATGGAGATGTGTGTTCAGTTGCTCAAACACTCAAGTTACATTCTGTTTTCCAACTGTACGATGATGACTAAGAATGAAATGGCTAGAATTTATTCAAACATCTACTTTTGAATTCAGCGCATCATCATCATTCGCTTCCATGGTGCCGTCAATACGACTTGCAGTCTGTGAGGTAAACTAAACGCTATTGGCTATTTGAAAAGGGGGAGGAGCCATTTAATACGTCCAGCCTTAGCTTCCTGTTTCAGTGGAAATTATGTCAACGCGTCCTACAATGCTGCGCGCTCCAAGGCACTTCAGTGGGCCTTTAAAATGATAATTAAGATGTTTGGTATACCATTTAAGACGTTTTACGACTTTACGTTTTACAACCTGTTGAAATGTGCTCCTAAATACATTTTACTGTTTTAAGCGCAACTGCGAGTTGAGCATTCACTGTTGATCCCTGGGATGGATGAATCGTTCATAATAAGATCAATAACATGCATTTCGAAAATAGACAGGGAGAATTTTCATTTCATGCTGTCTTTAAAGAAAAGTTAAAAAGCGCCAAAAAACAAACAGACATAATTTGTAAAGTAATAAAAATGCATCACAGAAATGATTATGAATTGAAATGTTTTTGAGTAACTCCTCAATGTCATAAAAATCTTAGGTAATTTCTTCTGGTATTTGCCCCGGTATCCTAAAACCGCTCTGGTCCAGCGTGCTCCTCGGTGTAGCCATGTGATAGCTGCATCTGACCCCCTCCCTGTCGCCGCTCCTGTGCAAAAAGTGAAAAAAGTCTTCGTGGCCTGAACGTTCGTGGCCCGACACTGAGGGCCGCACTGGCCTGCCGACCGATCGGCAACACAAGAGCATCTTACACAACTCCTCCCTGATCTGACGGTTCAGCAGCCCGTAAAAAAAGGGGTTTACCGCGAACGTGGAATACGCCAGCCAGGTGACGGGTCCCTCAGCTTCTTCTGAGGTACTGTGAGAGAATCCCAGCGACAGATGCAGGTGGAAGGCAAAGTAAGGCAGCCAGCAGAGCAGGAACTGACCCACGATGATGGCTAAAGTGAGTGCCGCTTTCCCGCCAACCAGTGTTCTCTTCCTCCTGCGAGGGACCGGGTTTCTCCGGATGCTCGTGCTGGTGGTGATAATTGTAGTCTGGCTGTTGACGGAATCAGACCGACGCTTCGGATGAGCGGTCGCCATCGTCCAGCTCGGGATCGGCCCTCTTTCCCGGGCAGCCGTGTGGGCGACTTTATAGACGTGCCCGTAGACGGCAATAATAATGGAGGCTGGCACGCAAAAGCAAACCGTGCAGAACAAGATAGCAAACACTCGACGGTGTCCGCTGTGGCTCCAGTGGAGAGAGCAATGGGTTGCGGCAATGGAGCTTCTACTTCCATAACTGGGCCATCCGAAGACGGTAGCAAGTCCCAGCAAAGTAGACGCCACCCAGACGAGTCCCATCACAGCTGCGGACAACCAAGGGGTCATTTTAGCCTCGTACCTCATGGGGTGCACGATGTAGAAGTAGCGTTCGATGCTAATCACAGTAACCGTAAAGATGGAGGCAGATATGAGAAAGGCATTGAGGAATATGTACAGTCTGCATTCGAGTACGGAGAAGATGACGCCGGCGAAGAAGGGCGAGCCGCAGACGATGCCGAGAGGCATGAGGAGGGCGGCGCACAGCAGATCCACGATGCAGAGGTGACACACCAAGCTGAACTTGCGGAGGTGGGGGACTTTCACTACTACTGCGAGTACACCGCTGTTGGCCAAGAGTGCCACTGCGTTAAGAGTCACCATGACTACGAGCCCCGACGTGTCTCGTAAACGGGATTGTGGGTTAGACATGCTCCCTAACTGCATGCTGGGAGCCAGATGCATAGGGTGGCCATGACTCAATGTCCCATTAAGTTCAGTTTCGTTAAGCTCTGCTGCCGGAGGTAATCCAGACGCCTCCATTGTTTACAGTGTAGCGCACCCAACACAAAGCAGAAACACAGGCTTCTCCATCTTCCACCAGTCAGGAATGGGGACTCATTGGCTGGAGGTCAAAGGTCAGCGCTGTTGAAAGAATAATATAAAACACAAAATCAGTTTAACTACATTTGAACACGTCGACAACAACAAGTTTACCAATTTAAATGCGCATTAAATGATTTTAGATGTTTGTTTTTTTTTTTTTAGGCGTAGTTCCCTTTGGAAATCACATGCTTTTTCATTTTTATCCAGATTAAATGGTGTATTATTATAAAATAACTAAATTATTATTATTATTTAATTTTCTTTTTGAAAATTGCTATTTTTGTAAACTTCTGCCTGAGGCATATTGCTTGTTCACTTTTGATAATAGGTTAAATGTATGATTGTCTCTCTTTGTTCCATTGGCTAACTAAATGAAATATGATATAATAAAATAATAATAATAAAACTATATATACACACACATTTGCAGTAAAGAAATAAGGTACATAATTAAATATTATAAATCCTTTTGACTGTGTAACACACCCGAAAAATGATTCAATTCAGCTTTTGATTATTATTATATTTTATATTATGCTAGTTGACCAAAGTTTTAAAATGAAATAAAAAGTTCTTGACTAAAGTCAAAGCAAGCTATGATAGATTTGGTCTTTTTAAAAAAAAGTTCAACACCTCTACATAATGTTTTTGCTTATGTTTAGGGCCCAAAAATACTATGGCAGTACCATGGTACAGTGATGCGTCAGATGTACTATATTTATATATGGTATACTCCATGGTATACTACAACTCAATCAAAGAATACCGTGTTATTACTATTATAGTGTCCAAAATGGCATCCGTAGCATCATTTACCGAGTTGATAGCATAGTACTTTCAGCAACATGTCTAAATCAGCAGGTTATTAGCATATCATGTCCAGTGCATTATCGTGACTCTTTTTTTGGACCCGTGGCTCAACATTGAGAAAGCGAGAGAGGCTTGATCAGTTGGAATAATTCATGGTGCTCGTGGTGCTCTAACCTTTTGAAGCGGAGTATAATGAGCTCACTTGTTTGGCTGCAGCTGCTGGGGTTTCTCTGGCGTTAGCGTTAGCATGAGCTCACTGTCACCTGCACATCACTACAATGTGCTCGCGCCACAGACTTCACTGTGCACATAATCACTCTCACACTGACTCAGACATCATCTCACTGATGTCACTACTGTACTGTCACTGTAATGCCTAGACAACTCCTCATCACAAACTCTTAAGATGACGTGTGTAATGTAGAGACACATTTAAGTAAGCCATTCGTTGTAGGTGCCCAAAAAAGTCATCTATATAGCCTATAATTAAAAAGAATACTTTTATTCAGCAATGGCGCTTTAAATTGATCAAAAGTGATAGTAAAGACTACAACATTGTTACAATTTTCAACATTGATAATAAAACGAAATGTTTCTTGAGCAGCAAATCAGCATATTAAATGATTTCTGAAGGATCATGTGACTGATGCTGAAAATTCAGCTTTGCATCACAGGAATAAATTGCATTTTAAAATATATTAAAATAGAAATATGCGCTCATATTTCATTTGTATGTGTTTGTGATCAAATAAATGCAGCTTTGGTGAAACTTAACGCTTAATGTCTCCACTAAGCATGAAAGATGACAGTAATTTTTCAATTTATTTTTTATTTTTTAGAGTATTTTAGTACTTCTGTTGACCAGCCAAGCTTTATTATGATCTCCTCCAATAATCATAAAGCATCTCCAATCTTTTATAGTCACAGATCACCAGAACGTGTCGATGAGGGCTAGAAAATGAATGCAGAGTAATTTGGCATGAAAAGCACAGCGGCTGGATTACATCACCACGATCACGGCTGCACATAACGTACCCGCGTGTTTTAATCAGTTAATCAGTTTGTTAATGCCTTGACCTTGCACAACCCCCATTTTCACAGTGAAAATTCATAACTTCAGAAGAGTTGAAAAGTGGATGATTTATTTGTATTTTTATAGAAATCAAAAAAATGACACTTCTACAGTCCCTCTCCCCTCTTATTCAGACAAACCAGTGACATACATTTTTAATCCTGGCATGTTTTCTCGGCCAGTAATCTCTCTTTGCTCAGCCGAGATTTTCTGGTCATAATAAACAGATGTGCAATGTGCAGGTTTTGGGTTATGAAAGAGATGCCCTGCTTTTATTATGTAGTTTAACATAAACACACAACCACACATCAACGTGAACATGCACTGAAACTTCCTCTAAATGTGAGGTTGCATTATACAAAAATAAATCAGAAAGGATAAGTAAGCACTTTGATTCTGTGCTCTGCATTGTTTATGGTTTTAAAAAACCAGAAAAACCCACTTTTTAAAAAAAAAATTAATTATTAAGCATTTCTGTATATGTCCAGCATACAATCAATTATGCCAAATTTGTTGTTTACTGAGATTATTTCAACCTTTAACAATTATGAGAGCATTTTTATAGTAATAAGCTGAATGTTTAAAACAAACAATAAAACAATCTCACCTGAAGTCCATCATCTAAGTCTGGTCAATCATCATCAAATGTCCCAAAATCCTGGCTCTGTCAGTCGGTCATGAGGAGTGTGTCGAGTTTATCCAGCACTTACTCTGTCTGTGGTGCGCAGAGCTTGATGGAGCTGTGTTTGGCTCCGCGCTCTTTGCACTTTAGACAAGCGGAAGACATTACTGAGGCAGATGTACATGATGTGTAGGTCAGTCGAGACTCATCATCTGTGGACAGAGTCAGTGTGTCAGTTCCCCTCACTGAGGAGCCCGAGAGCTGCAGGTGCATTCAACAACAGAGAGAGAGAGAGAGAGAGAGAGAGAGAGAGCGCACAGCTGACCCAAACTAGGGAAGTCACCAGCGGCAACAGTCATTATACACACATATTATGCACAAACATATGTCATACAAGTACAAGTAAATCGAATAGAATATAAGTTACATAATTTATAATAAATAATAATGATAAAGTTGTTAATATGCCTACCATTGATAAAATATGTATGAAATGTATTATTATGTGTGTATATGTTTGTATATATGCATGCATTTAAATGTGTTCATAATGTTATTAATAGCATAATTGTGTTTTTATTGCATGTTTCCATATATGTGTATATTTTATTTTTTTTTATTTTAATATTATTAGTAATATACTTAATTATGCATTTTAGTGTGTGTATATATATATGTGTGTGTGTGTGTGTGTGGGGGGGGGTAGTTTATTTATAATGCATTATTAGTAGCAGTTATGCTATTTATCACATATTTTTGTGTGTTTATAATTTAATATGTGTATTAATATTGTAAAATAATGTATATTATTTTATGAATGATCTAATAGTAGTCATGCATTTCAATGCATATATATATATATATATATATGTATGTGTGTGTGTGTGTGTGTTATTTATGCATTTTTATTATTATTATACATGTGTTTTAATGTATATATTTGCATCATTGTGTGTATTTAATTTAATCTATTTATAACATTATTATTAGTTGTATTAGTAGTAGTTATGCATTTTATTGCAAACATTTATATATGTTTGCATATATTATTTTTTGTATTATTATTATACATTTTAATGTATATATTTGCATATATGTGTGTATATTATTATATATTATTATTACTATTACATGTGTTTTATTTGCATATATGTGTGTGTGTATTTCACTTTATTTATTTATTTATAAATTATAATATACATAATTATTAGTAGTAGTATTTGTTTTTTATTGCATACATTTGCAAATGTGTAGCCTATTTTATTTATTTATGCTGTATGATATATTATTATTAGTAGTAGTAGCAGTTATTTGTTTTTATTGCATATTTGTGTATATATGCGTGTTATTATTTTATGAAATGTTATTATTATACACAGTTGTGAGTTATATTTCACACAGCCGCTCATTGAAGCGGTCGCTGTAATGTGTCGTCTCTCCATTAGGCTGCGCTGTAGCGCAAACACACGTGTAAACCACACAAGAAGAAGAACGACAGGAAGCGTGTGTTTGTGACCATGTGAGTGGCATGCTAGGCTCCGAAAATAAACGCAGTCAATCCTGAATAACGTTATTTAAACAAATAGTTTTAAGCGTAATCATGTCATCTTTCTTTATAAAGAAAAGGGTCATCTCTGCGGCTGTCAACAAAGGAGATTTAAAAAGAAAGGTACGTTTATGTTTAAATGAGTGCAATGAGAAATTAGTTTGTACTTATCTTTTCAGCGTTCATAATGTTATTTTAAGCTATTTTATTTGATATTGTAATAAAAATATTAACATATGTATACCAATGTTAGAGTAATGCAGATGATGGCAAAGGGAGATCAAAAAAGTTCAATAAACGAGCGGATGAAGAAATATCGAGTGACTCAGAAAATGAAAGGTAAGGTAACTGACTTGCAGTAATGTGTTGTGGTGGATAAACGCTTCTGTCTTGTAGTTTTCTTAAATCAAATCAAATCAAATCGCATATATGGCATTTCTTCTGCAGAGCTGAACCAAACAGAAAACAACCGGACAATGAAGACGACGAGATCGAGGAGACGCCGCAAGAGAAGAAACTTCGCCTGGCCAAACTTTACCTAGATCAGCTGAGAGAGGAAGGTGTGTATCATCATCATCATCATCACCATCATCCACATTCCCACTGTTTTCTCAACCCGTGTTCTCTGTGTTGTGTTTGACAGAGGATAAGAAAGCTGAGGAGGAATCATTTGAAGCGGATCTCATAGCTGGAAGACTGCAGGATGATCTGGTAAATCTTATCGTTTGCTATTTGATATCAGTTCTCTCACCTAAGTGTGGTAGACAGTGTGATGTCATACTTTTGGAAATCCTTAGCATAAACCTTTAAAATGGTACATCAGACATTTTTGACAGCGTTACTTGTCAATTAAAGGGATACTCCACTTTTTTGGAAATGGGCTCATTTTACAACTTCCTCAGAGTTAAACAGTTGAGTTTCACCATCCAAAAAATATACTATGTATGGAAGTCAATGAGACCAGAAACTGTCTGGTTACTGATATTCTTCTAAATATCAGAAAATCGGCTGAATGGATTAAAAAATGGTAAAACTCAACTATTTAACTCTGGTGGAGTGGTAAAGTGAGCCTATTTCCAAAAAAAAGTGGAGTATCCCAGGGATAGTTCACCCCAAAATGAAGTTCATGAATAGTTCACCCCATTTTTGATGACCTAACCCTTTTTAAAATCTGTCGACATTAACTAAAACTGTTATTTGAGGACGTTATATATGGTTACACTGAGTGGATTGTGATTACCAATGAATCATTTGATTGTAATTATTATTCCTTTTCTTCTCTAATCGCTTGTTTTCATTCATCCTCCACAGCTTGAACAGAAAGGCAAACTACAAAGACTGATAGCCAAAGACGTGAGTGATGTTTTTCAGATGATGTCTCTTTAATTATGTGCCGCTGTTACTTCCTCTGTGTGACATCACCCTGACGTCTCCTCTAGCTCATTGCTCCAGACCCAGAAGAGGTCAGGTTGTTGAGAGGACACAAACTATCTGTCACGTGTCTCGTCATCACCCCAGATGAGAAATACATCTTCTCTGCGAGCAAAGACTGCTCGATCATCAAATGTGAGTCTGACGGGTCAACTGTGCTCCGCTTTAACGTTCTACATTAATGCTTGTGATGTGGAGTGTGTTCTTCTGAATGAGTGCTGTCGGTGTGTGATCTTCAGGGGAGGCGGAGAGTGGAAAGAAGGTCCACAGGATTGCTGGAGGACGGAAGGGAACAGAGGAGGATCACGTGGGACACACCGCTCACGTCCTGTGTATGGCCATATCATCTGACGGGAAATACCTGGTGAGAGGAGATGTGCTAGTTGGATTCACTGGTCATATTATTTATCAGTTTTCTTTTAATTAATTTTTAATTAATTAATATTTTAATTAATTATTATTTTCATCCCCAAGATAATTTATTAAAATTCAGTAATATTTTTGATAAGGTCTATGAATGTTTTAGACTTAGAGAAATTTGTATCTGTGTATGTATACACATACCGGTCAAAAGTTTGGGGTCAGTATGTTTTTAAAGAAATGAATATTTTTATTCAGCAAGGATGCATGAAATGTATCAAAAGTGGAAACGCATTTATAATGTTACAAAAGATTTGCTGTTCTTTTGAACTTTCTATTCATCAAAGAGTCCTTTAAAATCAAATGAACAATAAAAACACATAAATTGATTGTAATAAGAAATGTTTTTGAGCAGCAAATCAGCATATTAGAATGATTTCTGAAGGATCATGTGACTGAAGATTGAGTAATGATTCAGAAAATACAGCTTTCCATCACAGGGGGGAAAAAAAATCATTTTAAAATGTATTCAAATAGAAAACGGTTAATTTAATTGTGAAAATATTTCACAATATCTCTGTTTTTACTGTATTTTTAATCAAATAAATGTAGCCTTGGTAAGCAGAAGAGGCTTGTATCAAAAACATTGACCCCAAACTTTTGAATGTTAAACCTCTGTCTGTCTGTCTTGTATGAATTTAATCATATTATATTTGTGTATTGCATTTTTTTAATTACAATAATAATATTAATTAATTTTTAAAAACATTTATCAGTTACAGTTTTTGTCAATTAATTGAAAACAAAGTTGGATTGCAATTTAATATATATATTTTAATTTTCTAGGCTAGTGGGGACATGAATAAACTCATCATGATCTGGGATCCGGAGACATGTAAACATGTGTACAAGTTTACAGGACACAGAGGCGCTGTATCAGTGAGTACAAGATGGCTTATGGACGCATGCGTTCTCTGACCTGAGTTTGTTTTTAACGAATCATTATGACTAGATCAGTGTCCAATCCACTGTCCTGTAGAGATTAGCTCCATCCACAGTTAATACACACACCTGAACCTTTTAATCGAGGTCTTCAGACACACTAGACACTTCCAGGCAAGTGTGTTGCTGAACTCTACAGGACGTCGGCCCTCCAGGAGCAGGATTGGACGCTCCTGTTTTAGATGATGGGAAATTCCAAGCTTATATTTCATTTACTTACTGTGTGTACTCATTTGCTCTTCTGCTTCTTCCACAGGGTTTAGCCTTTAGACGAGGGACTCATACCCTCTACAGCGCGTCACATGACCGCTCAATAAAAGTGTGGAGTGTGGACGAGAACGCTTATGTAGAAACCCTGTAGGTATACCAGCTGTTTTGAGTATTATAATAAGAAAGATCTCTGTACTTGCTTGTTGCTCACAAGCTTCATTTGTGTTTATTTGTCAGGTTTGGCCACCAGGACATGATCACTGGGTTGGACTGTTTGAGCAGAGAGAGATGTGTGACCGCAGGAGGACGGGACAGAACAGTCCGAGTGTGGAAAATCGCAGAGGAATCACAGCTAGTCTTTCACGGACACGAGTGAGTTTGCAGTTGTGACTATGACTTCAACTTAGCCACGTCAACAGTTATGCTTTAATTCATTTTGCCATATCTAAGGATGAGTTCTTGTCACCTTTTTGTGTGTAATGATGTTTCTGTCCATGTCCTCTGTCTGTCTGTCTGTCTGAAGGGGCTCCATTGATTGTGTCCAGCTTATTAATGAAGAACACATGGTCACTGGTGGAGATGATGGGTAAGAAATCTAGACAGAAAACACTGTCTAGATCTACAAAAAAATTAATTTGGAATGATATCTGTTTTTATGTTGGTGTAACAAAAATAGTCACACTCGTTCCCTGCACTCAAAATCGA